CCAAAGCGAGCTGGCCTGGCGCATGCTGTGCCGACGGTATGGCGCCCAGCTCTGCTACTCGCCCATGTATCATGCGAATCTGTTTGCCACCGATCTGAAGTATCGCAAGGATGCGCTGCAAACGTGTCCGGCGGATCGACCCCTGATCATACAGTTTTGTGGCAACGATCCGCAACAGATGCTGGAGGCAGCGCTCGCTGCACAGGATCATTGCGATGCCGTCGACATCAATCTGGGCTGCCCGCAGGCGATTGCCAAGCGTGGCCATTACGGTGCCTTTCTGCAGGACGAATGGCAGCTGCTGACACAGATTGGTTCGTAGCCAAATTATCCACAAAAATTATTATAACAATCATATTTATTGGATCCCAGTGCGAACGCTGCACGAGCAGCTCTCCGTGCCGGTCACCTGCAAGATACGCATATTCGAGGATCGGGAAAAGACCATTAACTATGCCAAAATGCTGGAGGCCGCCGGCTGCCAGCTGCTCACCGTGCACGGACGTACGCGCGAGCAGAAGGGACCGCTAACGGGCATTGCCGATTGGAGCTATATCAAGGATGTGCGGCAGCACATCAAGATACCCATGTTTGCCAATGGCAATATATTGGGACTGGAGGATGTGCATCGCTGCCTGGAGGCCACGGGCGTTGATGGCGTCATGACCGCCGAGGGTAATCTACATAATCCGGCCATCTTTCAGGGCATCTCGCCGCCCGTCTGGCAAATGGCCCATGAGTACTTGGAATTTGTGGATCTCTATCCCTGTCCCACCTCCTATATACGCGGCCATCTCTTCAAGCTGTTCCATCATATGTAAGTACCAAATCTTCCAACTGTGTACAGGTAACTGCATTCTAAATGTCATCTCCCCTGCAGCATGAATATACGCTCGAATGCACAGCTGCGGGAACAGCTGGCGACGGCCAATCAGTTGACCCAGTTCCACGGCGTTGTGGCCAAGGTGCAGGAGAAATATGCGCCATATCACACGGGCGCTGCAGCCTACGCGCCGGAGGAAATGGAGCTGAATGTCAGCGCCGCAGCTGCGGAGGAGGTAAGCGATCGAGCATTACAAATCCTGTCAAGCAATTCTCTAATCTTGCGTCTTGGCAGTTGCCCATGCTGCAGCCGTGGCTGTGCCAGCCATATATACGCGCGTCGCCGGAATCGCATCGCCAGAAGATCGCCGAGAAGCAGCGCGAGGCCATCGATCCGAATCGCGCCAAGCGCCAATACTTCGACCATGCCGGCAACGAGATATCCCGCAAGCGCATGAAGAAGCTGCGCCGTCGCCAGCGGCGCCCGAACAAGACGGAGGCACAGCTACAGCTGCGCCACGAACGACATCTGGAGTATTGTGAGCAGTGCGCCAATCCTCTGGGCTCCAAATGCGAGTTCCGGCTGTGTCGCATCTGCTGTCGGGACAAATGCTATGCCGAGGACTGCGACTGTCCCGGGCATGGCATACTCATCAAGTCGCGCCGTGCCAAGGCCAAGCAGTTCGAGGCGCATTCCAGGCAAGAGAACAACAACGATCCTCTATCCGCTGTCGATGCGCCCACAATACCTGAAAGGCAAAATGTTTCCTGATATCCAAATCGGGAACTTAGCGAATTTGTACCGTCTAATGTAGGAAATTGCTTGCATTGTTGTTCCTATTCCTTTCTGTACAATTAAAAAAAAAAAAAACACAAAAAACAAAATACTGGACTACCAGTTATGCACATTTCCCTTGCTACAGGGTATTAACAGTATTTCGATTAATTATCGAACTGCGGCTCTGTTAAGTTGTTGCGCTGTTAACATACGATAGCATGTTAGCATACGATAGTATTTAACATCGGTTCATTTGAGCACGGTTCAGTTCATGAGCCCAAACTAGTTCCGTTCGCAAAATGATGTTGATTTGACGCAAATTATTTCGCGTGAAAATAACAAACATATTTATTAAAAATAAACATTTAGCGAGATAAAACGCTCGAACTAAAGCCAGCTGCAGAGTGTAATCGACGTGCACGCATATAACGTGTCGAAAAAAAAACCTGTTTTCACGTGGCGACTCAACACTGAGAAATTAAATAAATAGGTCACAAAATGGATGAAAACAAGGGTTTCAAGTGCGAGGAGCCGGGCTGTGGCAAGGCCTTCTGGTACAAGGCAGCGCTCAAGCGTCACCTGAACACGCACAAGGAGAACGATCCGGATATTCCGACCGTCACCTGGGGCTGCAGCGATTGCACCAAAATGTTCTCGACCATCGAATCCTTGCGGCGACACTACAGGTACGTGCAGAATCTTCTCGAGAGGATCAGATTGCTAACGCACATCAATTTGCAGAACGGCCCACGGTTCGGTCTATGTGTATCCGTGCGAGTTCGAAGGCTGCAACCAAATGTTTCAGCGCAAGGATAATCTCACGCGGCATGCTGCCTCGCATGCGGACAACAAGCATTGCTGCGACATTTGTGGCAAGTCCTTTGCCCGAAAGGATGCCATGACACGGCACAAAACGTGAGTTGCCACAAGAGGCGCTTCGCATATGCCATTAACCAATTATATACCGCAGCATCCACACACGACAGTCCCAAGCAGCGGATAGTCGATCCCCAGCCAGTGCGAATCCCGCCTCCCTGCAGGTGCATCGACGATCTGTGGGCGCCAAGGTCTGAAGGGCATGGTAGACGGATTCATATTAACCCGGAACGTACGCACGCAACGAACGTTTTGACCGTGAAAAGCAGGTACAGCTCATGCTCCAGGTTGGCAACACACCCGGAGTAGAATCGGACGAGTTGAGGAATTATCTATATATATATATATATATGCATAAAAGTTGAATATGAGTTTGGAAGCATCTACAAACAATTAACCATCAGTTAGAATCGGGTCAATATATTCATATAAAATGTATTAAGAATTGAAGAAAAGCCAGACGTGTTCTAATGTTAAGTTCCATCATGAATTCATACTTAATATTATTCAATTAAATTATATGTAAATGTTATTCTATTTGTCCAGACCAGGCGAACTGGTTGAACATTTTCAGTTTAGTACGTTTTTTTTTCATCCCAATACATTATCAGTTGAATGAATATGCTGCGACAGAGTTAAATGAGAATATTTATAACTTTACCGTTTGAACACACAATTAATGGAGCTAAAAGAACGAAACTAGTTCCTGATTATCGTTCATCTAGTTCCGATTAATGATCGTGTGAACAAATACACTTATCGCTGTAAACATTTGCTTAAATTAATCAATTACATTTACTAAAAACACATTCAGCAAAATACAAAGTAAATACTCGAGCTTAAAGTGCTTTTAAATGTAATTGGTTTTGTTTATTTGAGTTGAGCGGCAATAATGTGCAGCCAGTGCGACAATCGGTCAATCGATAACTTTTGGAACGCAACTCTGGGCCAAGGCACGTTTTGCGGCTTCCAATTAAAACCAAAATGGAACAAACAAAAAGATTCTATGATTTTTGCATACCCTACAACAAGGATGACAAAATAATGCGTGCTATATTAAACGAACTGGTCGAGCTGGGCTACAAGACGATAGCAATTGACCAGAGCTTCGATCACAGCAAAAAGGAGGCCGGCAAACGTGGCTCGGAAGTGTTTCCGGAGCCGCACGGCATCGAACATTTGCGCAAGGAGTTCGCGGATAAACTGAGAATATTGCAGCGCATAACTATACTGTACGTAGACGCAAATGTGGCCCATGCAATGGTAATGCAGTAAACGCGATTGGCAAGTGGCCGCAAAACTAACTGAAATAATTGCATCTCTGACTTAGAGCGTTTCCCTGAATCTGCGCAAGTTCAATCTAATCGCCGGACAGCCCAAAACGGACGCAGCCTTAACGGTGAGTGGCGCTGGTCCTAACAAGAATCTCCATTAACTGCCGGACACACATGCCTTACAGCACTGCTGCACCGCATTCAATGGCGATATCATCACATTCGATCCGGCCGCCGGCTCCCGTTTGCTGGTCCAGCGCAAACCCTACCTCATTGCGGTGCGACGCGGCATCTACTTTGAGCTGAAGTATGCGCCGGCGATTGCAGATTCCAACAATCGCAAGGACATGATAAAGGTGGCCCAGAATTATTGCACCAAAGGCAAGTCGCGCAACATCATCTTCAGCAGCGGTGCCGCTCATGAATTCCAGCTGCGCGGTCCGTACGATGTGGCGAACCTGTAAGCACTTACAGGCTGTTTAAATATTACCTGGTATATATTTTATAATGCACTCTTTTTGCAGTGCATTTATCTTTGGTCTTTCGGAGGATCAGGGCAAGAATGCCATCGATCGTTCCTGCCGTCAGCTGTTTCTACGTGCCGCATCCCGGCGTCTGGGCAAAACAATAATGTTTGTCAAAGGCGAGGGGCCAATTGTGTTTTCAGACAGTTCTGATGACAATCACAGCGAGGAAGAGCAGGCAGACGAAATGGACGCTTTAGTTACGGAAGCAGCAACCGAAGAGGACGAAAGAGAAAATAGTCAAGCCAATAAAAGACTGAAAGTAGCGTAGCATTCAATTTAATTTGAAAACTTTTTGTGTAAGCAATATGCTGGCTATTATAGTTGCACGCGTGATAGTTCTAAATCATGAACACGAAGAAAATGTTTTAATTTAAGGACATTTTTCGCAAAAATTTCAAATTTCTCACACTTGGTCACACTTAGGGCGCGCATTTTAAATGGCAGCTCTTGTATCGATTGTATGCTATCGAAACTAAAGATGAGTTACATTGTTTTTGTGTGTTCAGCGCTTTCAGTGGCTCTCACGTGTTATTTAAAATGTGACACCAAATAAAAATATTAAATAAGAAGCAATTTATGGTTGCAACTTTGTGTATTCCCATAACAATTCTCCTTAAGTAGCACGTATTTGTTCATTCAGTATTAAAAATAAGAAATCGATACTTTAAAAATACTTAAGGCAAGTAACCAGTTAGCACATATCGATCATCCCTAATCGCTGCTAAACAAAATGGAGGTCTTTGATGTGGTGCGTACATGTCTGACAAAGTGCTGCTAAAATATTTGCGTAAAACGGTAAAAATAAATTGATTAATTAATTAAATGTAACAACAAAATGCAAACAAAGTTGCCGGCAACAATTTGCGCTAAAAAGCAAACGACTACTGAGCGTATTTCAAATGTTATATGATTTTCAAAACTACAAAACGAAAACCAGACACTCGAACGAAGAAAAAAAAAAATGTGAAAGAAGTAGAGAGCGAGAGTACAAGACGACGGCGACAACGACAACCAAACGACGAGAAAAACGGCAAAAGAAATATGTATTTCGCGAGACGACGACCGCAGCGGCAGCAGCAGCCGCAGTCAACGTTCAATTGTTTTTTCCGAATTATGGCCAAGTGCATGTGTATAAATGTAATGTGTGCGTGTGTGTGTGTGTGCGAGTGTTAATTAATTGGCATAGTTAGACAAAACTAAAAAAAATATATAAATCACACTGCACGAATATATGTAAATAAAAGCGTGAATTAAAATGCGTTCGCATTGAAGTCGCTTCTTCAACGCATTTTGCACTTTTTCGTTACCTTTTGTATAATTAAAAATGGACCTCGCTGTCTGTCGCTGTGTGTGTCTTGTGCAGTTGTCTGTATATCTGTGCATGTGTGTGTGTGTGTGTGTGTTGGTGATGCTCGATTTTCGCTGGTTGATGATGATGTTTGATTATAATAATGATTATTGCCTCCCTGACTTTTTGTCTTGCTGTGCATGTGTGCGTGCGTGTGTGTGTGTGTTTCGAATACGTTTTCGTTTGCGTTACTTCGGCAGCTAAATTATTTGTGAGCGAGGCGCTGACTGTGTTGTTTAAGTTTATTTCAAATTTTTTGAATAATTTCTATACTCTTGCTTTTTACTGTTGGTTTCCCAAAAAAAAAAAAAAAAATTGGCAAATTACCATTGCCATTTGTCGTATAGTTGCCGCGGGGCAGAGCAACAGCAGCAAGCGGCGCCCTCTCAATGATTTTCGCCCATTTTCAGTTATTTGGTGGGGGTCTTTGCTTGTGCGTGTGTGTGTGTGTGTAAGTGTGACTGCAATAAAATGTCTTACATTTGCCTCTGTATATATTGTAATTATTCGCCGTGGCGAGTTCGCCATTTATATTTTCATTTCTTTGTGCCCACTGCTTCTTGCTACATTTGTTTTTGTATCTTGTTGTTTTTTTTTTGTATTTGGTGAGTGGCGTGTGTCCCGCGTTGATTTTGCACTGTTCGAAAGAAGGAAAAAAAAGTATAAAACAGTTTTTCGCAGCCAGCATATATTTAGTGTGTATGTATTAGTCTCTCGCTGCAGCAGCGTTGCCACACAATCGCATGCAGATGCACACACCTGTGCAAATGTGCTGCTGCTCGTCGTTTTCGTGTCGCATCTAGTTCGGCTGCTGCGCGCCCCCGCTGCGTTCATTTGCGTGCTTCTTTTTTTTTCGATTCATATTTCGTGCATTGTGTGAGTGCGTACCTCGTGTGTGTATTTTCAGTGATTTACGCGTTCGCACAATCCCAGCGCAAACAGACAACATCTGCATGCAACGGTATCCATTTAACGCATGTGTAAGTGTATGTATGTGTGTGAGTGTGTGTGTGTGAGTGTGTGCCACGGCAATGACAGCGCAGAATTGCTGTTGTTGTTTGTTGCACCGGACCTTAACATAGCGCTTGCATTGTCTTTTCTTCATTTGATTTGTCTCATCTCTGTCGCTGCCTGTCATATGTCTACCTCCTTTGCACACACACACACACACGCACGCTCACACATGCATAAGCGACCAGCAGCCACACGTTTTTCTAGCCGGGGCACTCGCTGTTTATGTCCGCGCTCTCTCGCACTACGCGCAATTGATGAGAGCGTAAATTTTCATGCGCTCGTCGTCGCTGCCGCTGCTCTCGGCGCCATCAACGACTACCAGTGTTGCCAATTTCGCTAATTTAACATCAAATCTGGCTTAAAAGTGCAATGAGAGACAAATATAAAAATAGCGGGAAATGGCGAGTCCGCAGATTTAGTTTAGCGTGTTTGTTATTTTATTCGCTTTGATTAATAATGGAAAAACTTCTTAAAAATAATTCAAATCATAAACTTATCTTGACTTCTCTTAATTTATTATCAAAATTAATCAAATAATTTTCGGCTTATCTTAACTAGTATATACTGGTCTCTAGTTGATTAAATATAGCTCGCTATTATAAAATTAATACCTATCGTAATGAAAAGTAACATTTTGCTAGAACAAATTAAAAAAAATTTCCTTCAGGCTTCTTTTTCTAATTAAAAGTTAGCTTTTTAAACGTATTCTTCCCCTAAAACTAGCTTTATTTTGTTTTTGGATTCTGAATAGTTGGCAACACTGATGACAGCAGCCGTCGCAGTCTCGTCGTCTGCGGCGGCGGCTGTAACAATATTTTTTTTTTTTCATGACTTCTTTTTGGCTGCTTCTGCCGTTGCCCCTTCGCTGCCACGGCTGCTTTTCCTTTTCCAATTACACAAACGTTTTCACGTCTGCTTCATACGTACGTATGTTTTTTTTTTTTCTTTTTTTCAACAATATCTATTGATTTCTTTGTTTGGCTCTGGCAACGGTGACAGACCGCCGGCCCCAATAGCCGAGTGCTGCGCGTATATCATGTTTAATTGTAATTATCGCGCGCGTATGTGTGTGTGTGTGTGTGTGAGCTATTTGCTCAAGTCGCAGCAGCGGGAAGAAGAAGCAGCAATGGGCAGCCTCAGTCGTTGCGCTTTTGTAGTTTTCGCTCCGTTTCTGTTACTACTTCTGCTATTGCTGTTTTTTCGTCGTCGTCTTCTTCTTTTTCTGCCTCATAGGCGTTTCGTTTAGTTGTTGTTGTTGTTGTTGTTGGTGCAATTGTGCTACAATTATTATTTCGCATGTGTTGCTTCGTGTATCTACACTCGAATTAGCATTGTTGTTCTTGTTGTTGCCATTCGCATTCGCCATCCGTCATCCGTCATTGTTCGTCATCATTCACATTTCAAAGTTGTCGATGTCGCGCTGTTGCCGTCGTAAAAGGCAAATGGCGCTGCATACATAACTATCGATAGGTTCGTCGCTCTGTCAATCGGGCAAAATAAAAACTACATACATATATAAAACAAAGTCAGAAGCGAATGCATAATCAGAGAAAAAAATTCAATTTGTACTACAAGCAATCAACGCGCAAAAAGTCCAACGGATTAGCAGACCCAAAGCAAAGAGAGGTGAGTGGAAGAGTAAATATATTTATATATATATATATGTGCGTGTGTGTGTGTGTGCTTGTATATGTAAGTAGTCGATAGCTTAGCATGAGTTCTTTTTATTATACATAGTTAATTAAGTTGGGCACGGTAATGAAATTTCAAATGCGAACGCTATGCACAGACGAAACGTGAAATTTCGAGAAATTTACAACAATGGCAAGGCAGAAAATGCTTTTTAGAAATAATTATGTATCTTTAACCAAAAGCAGATACACACAAGCACACGCATACACACGTACAAACACAAAGCAGCGCGCTGCCAGCAGTCAGTCACTCAGCCAGCAAATAAAAATGAACGAGCGCACACATACACATACACATGCACACGCACACGCAAATGAATTGAGCGAAAAACGAACTCACACATACACACAAACCCGAAATAATTTCAATCAACTCTTTGCTTGGACGGCCGACAAAAAGAAATATAGTAAAAAAAATAAAATAAAATAAACGTCACACGCGCCCCCAAACAACGTGTCGTCCGCCCGCAACTACAACAACAACAACAACATTAACAGCAGCATACGACGCTTGCATCTGAGAGAGTGAGAGGAAGACACAAAGCGAGAGAGAGAGTGTGTGTGTGTGTGTTTAAAAGAAGAGAGCGGGCAGAGGCCGGCCAGGCATTTGAGTTTTGGGTATTTTTTTTTTGTTTTTGTCAGGGTGTTGGTGGAGCTGCGGCGAAAAATTAAAGTAATAAAACTACAACGCGCTTTACGTGACGTGCAAATGAGAACGACGAAGATGATGACGGCGAATCACTTGGACTGTGGCGACAACAGCAAAACTGAAGCAAACAATTCATCGAAGCACGGCAAGAAGAGCGCAGCGACAAACACACACACACACACACAATGACACTCGACACTTATGCATGACCGGTCGTCGTTCGCGAGAGCCAAGCGGCAAATGGAGAGCGCGAATGGATGGATGAAAATCAGCAGCAGCAGTAGGCAGGCAGGCAGGCGGGCAGTAAGGCAAGCGGCGATCCAAAGCCAAAGCATATCATCCATCCAAAACCGAATCAAAACCGACCAAACAACAAGCAAAAACATATGAACGACGACGACCCCAACGCACCAACACACATACAAACACACTCATTCGCAGGCAAATACACACGCAGCCCATGTCCATGACAGAGCACAGATACGTTATACACAGGCACACACACACACACACACATACACACATAAGCGCGCGTACTTAAACGATATGCGAATGCGAATAAAATAGCAACACCAACAACAACAACAAGAGCAAACAACATACCAACGGCGGCAACGTCAGCCGCCGCAGCAGGGCAACTATGCGGCGAATTTGCACGAATCATGCGAATCTCCAATACACACACACACACACACACACACACACACACTCACTCACATACATACATACAAACGTTCATACACCCATACACATGCATATTTAATACGTGTTTTGTACTTGTCGCCGTCTTCGTCATCATCGCTGTCGCTGGCCATTCTCGCCATCATGGCTGCTGCCTGCCTGCTACACACGCTTTTCTACGCGAGGCGTTCGTATAATTCACAGTCGGTCGCAGGCCTTTTGCCAGATTTCGCTTTTCAACCCCCCCTTTTCCGTCTCTATCAACAAGAGCACCACCCAACTTATCAAAACTAACAAGCGTCCACAAAAAAAAAAAACAACAACAGCAACAATTTCTTCTGCCAACTCCAAAAGTAATCGTCTCGTCTATTGTGCCCTGCTTTTCGTTCAGTTCATTCGCATTTTTGTTTTGACTGCTCTTGTCAACTGGCCGTCTCTTTTCAACGCTCTTTCTATACGAAAGACGCCGCAGTCTGACGTTCAGTTGCCGCTGGCGTCGTCGTCGTCGTTGTTGTCGTCGTCGTCGTTGTTGTCGTCGCCTCCAACATTGCCGGCCATCTGTCTAATATGACGCTGGCGCCTCAGTTGGCGTCGCTGCTTGGCTCGCTCAGTCTCTGCCGCCAAAGGCCGGCACACGTTGTTGCTGTTGCTCCAAACCCGCCGCAAACCCCGCACGTTGTTCGGTCTGTGCTATCGGCTGTGTGGCAGCACGTGATATACTCGCTTTGCTTTTGTAATTTCGCTTTTGACTGGCTCTTTAGCGCACGCTACGCTTTTGCCAGACGTTTTTGTTGTTGTTGTTGTTTTTTTTTTTCACTTGTTGGGCTGTTTTTTCTTTTCCTTCTTTGTTTTCTTCTTTTTACTCGCCGCTCTGACTGTTCGCTCTCACTCTCTCTGTCTCTCTCAGCCGGCGCTGAGCTCTCACGCTCTCGTTCGTTGGCTCTCGCTGTCGTTCGGGCTCTCTCGGTTCATACCGCTCTCGCACAGCAGCGGCTTGCTGTGTGTTTGCAAGTTTGTTTCAGCTCGGATGTATTTGTTGTTGTTATTGCACACACAATGGCACTATCCGGTTTAGGTCCAGGTGCAAATTTTATACAACAGTTTAACTCGATAATCGGGTCAGGCTATGCCCATTTGTTCTACACGTTTTTTATTTTTTTTCTTGTATTTCGGCAATTCTAGCGGGAAACATGGCGTCAAATTTTGGTTTTTCTTGTTCTATTGTCGATTTTACTTGCCTTTCAAGTAATTGCAACGTCAGCATTGAGCAGCGTTGCCACCCAATTGTTGGGGGCCCAGGAACGTCATAAATGCACCGTTACACATTCAAAGCTGCGACGTGTTGTAATTTATGTTGCTGTATTTGCTGCTCTTTGACTCAACCGAAATAGAGAAAGAAAAAAACTGTGTGTGGCTGTTACTTTACCTATTTTATTACCATTTCGTATGTGTATGCGTGTGTGTGTGTTTGTGTGTGCAGCACCCATCATCTGCCTCTTTGGCTGACTTGGCTGCTGTTGCTTTTCTTACAAAAACCAACTGTACTTTTTAGTTACTGTTAGTGCCCGGCGTACACACCAAAAGCAAAAGCCACTTGACTACTTGACTTGATTGCCATTAGAGAGCAATATGTACATACATATGTATGTGTGTATGTATGTATGTAGAGGCGCGCTTCTTTCCATTCTGCTGGAGTGACACAACACTCCATTCCGCACATTCCATTCTCATAACATTATTATTTATTGTGGGTCAAATGTTGGTTACATTTCAAAACACGAATGCCGCAAGCCCAATGCTTAAGTAAAGCTCAACTCACCAAAAGAGGCGCGAGCAGAGTAAATTAACAAAAAAAACAAAAAAAAATTGCTTCTTTTTTGACAAGGTGAATGAACTTTTGTTGCTTGTGCTCTCGCATTGTTGTTGCGGCTGTTGCAAAATGTTTAATCATATTCCGCTTTTTATTGTTAGTAGTTACCGTGTTGGGCGTTTGTTGTTGTTGTTTGAAGTTTCTTCAATTGCTGCTTATGCTTTGAGCTTCTGTTTCTAACAGTGATCGGCTGTTTGTGTGTGTGTGTGTGTGTCAATTTGCATGAAATTGGCAGCGCTGCGCTTTATTTATCGATAACAAAACAAAAGCACAAACGCAATTGATAATCGATGCTTGAGGCGCCCAATTTGAGCACTTGGAAAACTGTTGGGCAACACTCGACGAAAATGAACTGCCCCATAAAATTGTTGTTGCGTTGCCTCGCAATAAAATAAGCCAGAGAGACGAAGCTAATGCTGCTGCCTGGCTGCCTGGCTGCCTGCAAAAGCCAACAACAACAATAACAGCAACAAGAGCAACAACAAGCGCGTCGCGTCGCGTCGCTGCTGCGTCGGGTCAGCAGCGACGTTTGTCGTCACCAAGTTGGACACACAGAAATTTGCTTGTCTATTATCACCTTTAATCGATTTTTCGCTTATTTAAAACAAAAGTACAGTTGTGCGCGCATAGCCAATACACACACACACACACACACATAATTTCACATTTTTTCAGATGCTTTGTTGTTGCTTTACATATTACTATTGCTTTTAGTGTATTGTTTTTGCAATTACTTGACGACGCCAAAAACGTAGCAAAAGCAGCTGAAGAGGAGAAAAAAAAAACGCAAACTCAATGACATATACACACACATACATACACACATATAAACATAGCTATCTGCTAGATACAAACTTTGCACAGAAACACACACACACACACACACAAATACCTAGACTAATAATAATGGAAAAAAGCTAAAACTAAATAAATAAATAGCTGAAATTGCAAAAGCAAAATGTAATTGATTACAAACAACAACAACAACAACAACAACAAATAACGAACAACGACGACTGACTAAATGATTGCCCAATGAGCGCGAGCGCGAACAACTCGCAGCGAAGAAGCCAATAGGATGAGGAGTGCGGGTGCGGGTGCGGGAGGAGGAACAGTCATTTTATAGTGGGAGAGTAAGCGGGAGGCAAAGCCTAAGCGAGCTTAGCGCTCATGTCATGCACTCCACATAAGTTTTTGATGCATGTGTTTATGTGTGTGAGTATTTGTATGGGGGCTTTATTATATATGTATATGCATGTGTGCGTGTGTGTTTGTGAGCTAGAGTTGCCACTGTGGTTGGCTGGCTGCCTGCCTGCCTGCCTGCCTGACTGTCTGGCAAGCAAAATATGTGCGCACGTATTTATAACAGTACACAGAGCGCAATTCGGTACCTCTAGCCGTGCGAGTGTGTGTGTGTATATGTGTTCGTTGCTAACTGTATATTTCGTACAGTGGTTCGCAAGCATATTAGAATTGTTTAACATGCAAAAATTCTTTTTATTTTACCAGTTAAATATTAAAAAAAAAAATAACAATGCAAAAGAAAAATTATAATATATCTAGGTAAATCGAAGAATTTAAGGAAAGCTTGCTGCCAAAATAAGGCACATGGCTTATAGATGCTTTATTTGCAATTTAGTTAAATATACAATGTTTTTTTTATTTTAAATTAACTGTTTAATTGAGCAGAAAATATTTTGTAATTTTAGCCTTGGGTATCTAATGCATTGAGCACACACTGTTCGTAATGTTTTGATGTTCTAATTAACGAGCGACCACTGTCGCTTAGGTTGCGGGCTACTTGCTGCATATCTCGTATGTACAATTCCAATTCCGCTGACTGTAGTTTTGTCTCGCTGTATCTCTCCGCTTGGCATACACTTTCCATTTACAAACACACACACACACACACACGCACACAATTGTACCCCGCACCTTTTGGCTGCTGTTTGCAACATTTGCATATCTTTTGGGCATTGCTGCCTAACCACCATCGCCCGCCCGCCCCTCTAAAATGCTGCTCAACGGGCAACACCCGCATCACCTTTTTTTTTTTGGTGCTGCTTTATATTATTTTTTGTTTTTTCGTGCTTTTGCTGCTGCTGCTACTTTAGATTTTTGGGGCTAAACCTTTGCAGACAATGCGAAAAATCGATAGAGTTGCCATTGTTTTTTCTCACTACAAAGATGTCGCCACCACCCAACATCACCCCCGGCAACAGCAACAGCAGCAGCAGCAGCAACAAAAAACAATCTCGCAAGAAATGCCTGCCAGCCTCCCAATGAAGGGGGTTAAAGCGTAGCCTACCATAGCGAAACCAACGGCTAGTCTTAATCCACGCCTCATTAATTGCTAACACTTTTCCCTTTTTTTTTTTTGTACCCTTTTCCAACACTTCGTCTTTTGTTACATTTTTCTTGCGAGGGGGGGATGATATTTTGGTACAGCCTAGCTGAAAAGTTGTCAGGTTCTTTACAATTCATATAACATGCATCTTAAAGCTTAGTGTAGAAAAAGAAAAAAACACACACACAAATGTTTAGGGGGTCAAACTGTACGTTGTATGTGCAAATGATGAAATTCATAAGCGTATAGCTTTTCCCCTTAAACGTTGATGTGACGACAACCCAGATAAATTCAATTCTAAGCAACCTGTTTCTAGCTAAGTACATACATACAGTGAGCGCTCGATAAGCTAAAAGCTGAGTTACATGCATATGCCTAGATCTATATTCAACTTTTACCTGTCGTAATTCTTACATTTTTTTAATTAAAAGATACTGAAGATTGTTCGAAATTGTAAAAACAATTAGAACTTTTAATTCAAGGCGCGTCTAATGCATTGAAATAATCGAATATGGCTTCTAAAGCTAGTTGAAATTCCAGAAGATGCTGTAAAATCTTGCGTAATGTTAAACTTTTCAAGGCATTAAGCCTCGAATCTAAGCTTCTCGTATTTTTTTTGGAAGGATTTTAAAATCTTATCAAATGAAACGAAGCTAAATTTGACTTCTCGAGAATTCACTGTATTAAATTCAAAGAGTTTCTCATTAACGAGCTATCACTGTACCCGTAATAATTCACATGTAGTTACTTTAGTATAGTATTAGTACATAGTATTAAACTAGTATAAGCGCACATAAAGCAATTTAGTAATTTGCATTTCTCTTTTTCTCTCTTCTCTACTTTCAGATTCTACGTATAAATTGAAAAAAAAAAAAAAAAGAACACGCTCAATACGTTTACCGTTTTACGCAAATGTTTAGGGATTTTTTTTTTTGTTCGTTTAAAGAACTTTTTCTTATTTAACCGAAATGTTTATCTTAAAAATTTTTGCAGCTGTGAGCAAATGTTTCACTGCGAATATGTCAAAGGTCGGCCATGAAGTGTGCGCAACAACAAAAAGGACAAACACAAATGTGTATACACTATAAAAATAATAAACTTATTATATATATATAAATTAAACGGAAGACGTTCCCAAAAACTGCACATGAGCTGTAATTAAGTTTAGTAGTTAGCAACAAACTCCAAGCAAGAAAAGGAAAAAACAACAAAAACAAAACAAAAAACAAAACAAAAGCAAAGGAAAATCGACAAAAAAAATTCGCGTTGATTTGAAGACAAGTTTTGGGGCTTTTTCTCACAGTGCAGAAGAACGCTTCACAGCACTGCGCGTTGTGGTTAAATGAGTCAACGTCGCGGCAGGACGCATCCTGCCAGACCGTAACACCCATCCAATTCCCCCACCAACATCACCACCTCCGTACCGTAGTATATATCCCAATTTGACAACGGCCACGCGCAGAGAGCAGCATCAGAATTAAGCCAATCGACGACCAAACCTAAAAAAAAAAAAAAACATTAAAAAAAAAAAACGCAGCGTCGCGTCCTTCGACGCGTAACGGGAAATTTCTGTGTGCGCTGCGTTTCAAAAATCTGATGGATGGAAATGCACAAAATATGTTTCACGGCAATCATCAAGGGTGAGTTTTAATCGCTTTTCATTCCGCCCCCTTGTCTCTGTGGGTGGGCGTGGGCGTGGGTGTGGGTGTTGGGACTGACAAAAAAAATCCATTTTTCTTGTCTGATTTTTAAGCGAAAAATTCCTTTACATATCTAAGCCAACGTTTTGTAGATGTTTTTAAATTGTTTTGTATTTAGGTGAGATATTTTGCAATATATATTAAGAACAGGGAAGAACAATAATTGACACAACACTTCCTATATAGGCAAGACAATTGAGACGGGTCTGTCTATTATATATAATAGAAAGGATAAGGATAGGGCAGCTCTTATAGTTTTGGGTTGAATTTCGCAGAAGTTTTGTTTTTTAAGAATATATCAGGAATTCTCAATTTTTGGTCTTTTTAGCCTTCTCTCTAAAACCTCATATTTATATATTGCCATATCATCTAATGCTTAAATTATCTCTCTCTCCCTCTCTCTCTCTTTCTCTCTTCCTTTTTAACACACAGAGATCCCTATTACCGTTATGATGCGGCCGCCGCAGCAGCCGTTGCCGCAGCGGCAAATCCACGGGCCATGGGCCCACCAGGCGGCTATCCGCCGCGTCATCGGGCGCCGCATCCGCTACAGCAACAGCCACAATATCCATCGTACCAGCCAACGGCGGAGAACCTGTACGGGCTGGGGGCCACCGATCAGCATGCAGCGATGGGCGTCGGCATGGGCGATCTGAGCGGGTGGGGTGCGGCGCCATCGGTGCCGGGCCAGGCAGCCGCCTATCCAGGCGCTGGCCTAGGCGCCTACGGACATCCACAGGCGGCGCCGCCGACGCAGCAGCAGCGTCAGAGCAACGCCAGCGCCTACCGCCAGCACATGCCCGCCTACGGACAGCAGGAGCAGCAGAAACTGGTGCCCTATGGCGCGCAGCAGAACATGATGGGCGCCCTGGGTGCCACCGGCTATGGCAGTCTGGCGCCCCAGCAGCAGCAACAACAACAGCCACCCACGCCACAACAACAGCAGCAGCAACAGCAACAACAACAGCAGCAGCAGCAGAGCCAGCAGCAGGCTCGTCTGCCGCAGCATTATCCACAGGCGCCGGGTCAGCATCCCTTGTATCCGGGCGCGCCGGCTCAAGCAGCACAGCCGGCAGCGCCGCAGGCATACGCGCACAGTCCATACGGCAGCCCGATGCAACATCAGCCGGGACGCGGAGCACCTCAGCACGTGGGCTACGGTCATGCGGCACTGGATCAGGCCAGCGCCTATGGCCAGCACGTGCCTGGCGCAGCGCCGCCGACGCATCACTTGACTGCGCAGCAGCAGCAGGCTGCGCAGTTGGGTGCGCATCCCAGTGCGCATATAGCCAGTGCACAGCAGCAACAGTTGCAGACACAGCAGCAGCAGCAGGCGCAACAACAACAGCAGCAGCAACAACAACAACAGCAACAGCAACAACAACAACCCAACCATGTGAGCCTGATGCAGCAGCAGCAGCTGCCAGGCGCCGTACTGCCGCCGCCGCACATGGGCATGCCGCCCAGCTATGGCAGTCACCATCAGCAGCAGCAGCAGGCACAGCAGCAAGCCCAACAGCAGCAGCAGCAGCAACAGGCGCAACAGCAGCAGAGCGCACCGCCCTATATGTCCAGCAGCAAACATCAGGCAAGCGCTCAGCTCAACTCCTCGCCGCAGTATCGTGCACCGTTTCCACAACTCTCGCCACAGATGTCGCCGCGTCCGCCCACCATGTCGCCGCATCCACAAATGTCGCCGCGTCCAGTGGGCGTGTCGCCCGCCAAGCCACCACAAACAGCACAGCAGCAGCAGCAGGTGCAACAGCAGCAGCAGGTGAACTCGCCCAGCCAGCACAGCATACAGGGCATGGTTGGGCTGCCGTCACCGAGACCGCAACCACCCAGCGCAGCCGCCGGCGGTGCCAAGGTGCCCGTTAGCGTGGCAGCTGGCGGTGTCCCGCCGGTTGTCAATACGCTGCAAGCACTCGAACAAATGGTCATGCCCACACAGGCGCATGGCCTGCCGCCCATGGATTATCCCACATCGTATCGCAGTGCTGCGGTCATGGGACCGCGCATGCCCGCCTCACCCTCGCCGCAGCATCATCAGCAATGGGGCGCGCCGCATATGGCGGCCATGCAACAACAACAGCAACAACAACAACAGCAGCAGCAGCAACAAGCGCCACAACAGCCACCGCCACAGCAACAGGCACAACAGCAGCAGCAGCAGGCGCAGCAGCAACAGGCACAGCAACAGGCCCAGCAACAAGCACAGCAACAGGCCCAACAGCAGGCGCAAGCCAATGCGCTGTTGCAGCAGCAGCAACAGGCAGCACAGGCGGCACAGGCAGCACAGGCGGCACAGGCAGCACAGGCAGCACAAGCAGCACAAGCAGCACAGGCAGCACAAGCAGCCCAGCATCAGCAACATCAGCTAAGCATGTATGGACAGAGCATGGGCCAACAGGTGCCGGTGCCGGTGCCAGTGCCTGTATCTGTGCCCGTATCGGTGCCCGTATCCGTGCCCGTGCCCGTGTCTGTGCCCGTGCCAACACAGCAGCCACAAGCAGCGCCCGCCGCACAGCCCACACAGCCACCGGCGCCTCAACATCAGCAGCAGCAGCAACAACAACAGCAGCAGCAGCAACAGCAGCAGCAACAACAACAACAGCAGCTGAATGAGCAGCTGCAGCATTCCATCAATGACATTGTGGGTGGCAACCAGCAGCAGCAGGCGCAGCAGCAAGCGCAATTGAGCGCACAAATGTCCTCCTCGCCACTGCATCAGCAGAGCCTGCCCAGCATGCATCATCTGAGCGCTGCGGCCCATCACCAACAGCAGCAGCCAACGCTAGAGGCCAGCGCAGCCCAAGCACCGCAGCAACAGCAGCAGGCGACGCATCAGCAGCTGCAGCAGCATCAATCGCCCATACATCAGCAACAGTCGCCGCATCAGCAGCAACATTTGCCCAGCTATGCGCAGCAGAGCAGTAACCAACAGCAGCAGCAGCAGCATCAACAGCAATTTGATGCGTTTGCCAACATCTTGACAGATGCGCCCGCAGGAGGAGCATCGGCAGCTGCAGCCACAGCTGCCTCACAGCAGCAAATCATGTCGCCTGCGCATGTCAGCTCGCCCATACCGCAGCTGCAGCAGCAACATCAGCAGCAGCAACATCAGCAACAGCAGCAGCAGCATGCGCAACAGCAACCGGCCACGCCCACACCGTCAACACCCTCGCATCATCTGAGCAGCATACTCAACGAGACGGCCAACTCGAATGACTCCTCAACGCTGGCCGTTGCCGCCAATGACAGCAACAACAGCAGCAGCAACAGCAGCACGAACAGCATAGTCAACAATCAGCCCACCTCGGTGCACGACAGCAACTCGCAGAGCAGCATCAACAGCAACAATCAGCAGCCGTTGCTCTCGGGCATGGATGCCGTTGCGAACAGCATGCTCAACAGCAACTCGGACTCGGCGCACACCACGCACCATGTGAGCGGCGTGGATGTGGGTCTCTTTGACAACAATTCGATGAGCTCGACCAGTGCGGCTGCTGTTGCGGCCGCTTCGAATGCCGCCAATGCGGCGGCGGCGCTGCTCGATAGCAATTCGCAATCGTCGAATGCGGACTTTGAGAAAAGCGTCTGTGAGTCGGAGCAGCAGGCAACGGCAACAGCAGCTAGCGGAGATCTGTGTGCACAGTTGTCGCAGGATGACAATAGCGTGTCCAAGACGCAACCGGAGACGCTCAGCGAGACAACGCTGCCGGCGGCGGTGCAGGAGGAGCACGACAACAGCAATCACAAGCAGCCGCAGCATACTGAGGAGCTACTGGCGGAGCAAACGCAGCAGACCCTAAGCGAGCTCGCCGCCGTCGGCGGTGAGGAGACCAAATCCGCCGAGGAAATATGCGAGGATAAAAGCCAAACGCAAATGGACACAACGCTCGGCCAACAACAACAACAGCAGCAGCAGCAACCAATGGGTCAGACACCGTTGGGTCTGGGCATGCCTCCGATGCCGCCGCACACGCTGACCGGCTATGAAACGCAGCCGCCGCTGGGCGCCACGGCACAGGGAACAACAGTTCCGGTGCCACCGCCGCCGCCGCCAACACATATGCCGCCGTTGCTGCCGCCGTATCCGGGCGCAGCTGGTGGCATGTATCCGCCGTATCCGATGCTGCATCAGCAGGAAATAGCAGCACTGCAGCAGCAAATCCAAGAGCTCTACTGCATGCCGCCCGGTCATGAGCATCAGCATCAGGAGAAGCTGATGCGACTGCAGGAGCGCCTGAATCTGTTGCAACAGCACGAGCTCGCCGAGCAGTGCGCAGGCGGACCACAGTGTCTGCTCTACCAGAGCATGCCGCCCATGTACGGCAGCAGTGCGCTGCACAATCAGATGGTCGAGAGCCCACAGGTGTCCAGCACAACGGGTCGAGGTCGTGGCAAGGGCGCCAACAAGCCGCGCAAACCGCGCGCCAAGAAGGGCGACAAAGCGGCGGCCGCCGCCGCAGCGGCACTGCAGCAGCAACAGCAACAGGAGCTGATGGACATCAGCGGCAATGTGGTTGTGGCCGCGGCCAGTGCGAGCAGCAGCAGCAGCGGCATACCCACCACCCAGTTGCCCGTATCCGAGGATTGCGTGACCCAGGGAGCTGGTGATACCAGCGTCGTGGGCCTGCTCGAGTATAGCGAGGGCATGGGCGACTTGTCGCAGGATGTGCATTCGGCCAATGAGCTGGACACCTCCACCGATGGCAGCGGCAAGAAGAAGAAGCCGCGCAAGCCACGCACACCCAAGGATCCGAACAAGCCGCCGCGTGATCGCACTCCCAAGGTTAAGAAACTGCGCGATCCCAACGATCCCAACTCAACGGAGTCACCCGCCGCCGGCGGACGCAAACGGGCCAGCGTCAGCAAGCGTCGCAAACAGTTCGGCGACGATGGCGCCGAACAGACCGGCGACGGCAGCGAACTGGAGGACAACAAGCCGCTGCTGCCCAAGTCGAATGATGGCGAGGCCGAGACCAGCGCCGGCGGTGCCGGTGGCGTTGACGGTGAATCGCCCGACTATGATGATATACCCGTTTCGAAGATACCGCGCGGCGCCAACGACGATGACAAAGAGGCCGAAGCTGGCGATGAGACCGTCGATTCGGTGCCCGATTCTGCCGGCGATGCGGCCAGCACGCCCAGCCGGCGGGATCGCAAGCGTTCCACGGCGCGCAGTCGTCGCAATGCCACCTCCGAGGAGGGCGGCAGCGCACGACGGAATCGCGGCTCGCTGAGCGCCAAGGCGCTCAAGAAGCGACGCAATCGCGGTCGTATTGTGCCCGAATCGGATGGCGAGGATGATACCATGGATCGTACGCCGCCGCCGTCACCACCGCCAGATTCGGAGCTTGACTCGAATAAGCGACGCTCGTCGCGCAACACTCAGCGTAAGAAGTACATCGATGACGTCATGTTGCGATTCTCCGATGATGAGAACTCGCTGCTGGTGGCCTCGCCGGTGAAGAAGGACAAGAAATCGTCGGCGGCCAATGCGGCCAACTCGAATGCTGGCAGTGATGTGGAGAAGATAGAGCCACATTCCGGCGCCGAGGGCGAGGCCGGCAGCTCGGCGGGCGAGGAGAAGCCATCGGCGACAACGGCAGACGACACCAACAGTCAACTGGAGGCCAGCTCCAGCACCTCGGCGGCGGAGAAAGCGGAACGACAAAGCGCCAGCGATGCTGCCGCCGCCGCTGCCGCAGCCATGTCGTCCAAGCCCAACTATGTGTACATCAATACCGGCGACGAGGACAGCATGGTGGTGCAGTTTGTTCTGGCGCTGCGCATGGGCAAGCGGGAGCTGATACCAGAGCCGCCCAAGGTCAAGACGCCGGAACCCAAGACAGAGGCGGAAATGGCAGAGGAGGCGGCAGAGCAGGCGGCAGAGAAAGAAACGACAGATAAAGGCGAGGACAAGGTAGAGGTCAAAGCTGAAACGGAAGAGTCCACCAAAGTGGAAGATGATAAGGAACAACTGGAATCGGAAGAGCAGAAAATCGAATCCGACAAAATGGAAGTGGATGAAAAGCCAGAGATTGTCAAGTCGGAGGCAGCAGAGAAAAGCGAGGAGGAGACGCCCGACAAGGAGGAGGCGGAGAAAATGGACATTGACGAAGCTGCAGAGAAAGCAGCAGAAGAAACCCAGAAAATAGAGAAGCAAGAAAATGCAGAAGAAGAAGAAGAAGAAGAAGCAGAGGCCAAGACTGATGAAGCAAATGAAACGCCAGCTGAGCCAAAGAACGAAGCAGATGAGATGGAAAAGGAGCAGGAGGAGGGTAAAGCAAAAGAAACGGACGAAGAGGCAGAGAAAGATAAAGATAAAGATGCACAGCCTGAAGTAGCAGAGAAAATGGAGATCGATGAGGCTGCAGCCGAAGTTAAGGAAGACGAGAACAAAGTAGAAGACGAGACAGCAGCCGAAGCAAAGGCCGAAAAAGAAGCTGAGAGCGACAAAGAGAAGCCGGAACTGACCGATGAGGAGAAGGCGGCAGCAGCAGAGGCTGACAAATCCAAGGACTCTGAGCCGAAAGAGGATAAACCCGAGCCGGTCTTCATCGATGTGGAGGAGTATTTCGTTAAATATCGCAATTTCAGCTATTTGCACTGCGAATGGCGCACCGAGGAGGAGCTGCTCAAGGGTGATCGCCGCGTGGCCGCCAAGATCAGACGATTCCAGCAGAAGCAGGCACAACAGATCAACATATTCGAGAACATCGAAGAGGAGCCATTCAATCCCGATTTCGTTGAAGTGGATCGCGTGCTGGACATGTCCGTGCACACGGACGAAAATAGCGGCGAGACAACAAAACACTATTTGGTTAAATGGAAATCGCTGCCCTACGAGGACTGCACCTGGGAGCTGGAGGAGGATGTCGACAATGACAAAATCGAACAGTATTTGCGTTTCAATAAGATACCCTTGCGCTGTGAGTGGAAGAGCCGCAAGCGTCCGCATCCGGAGCAATGGAAGAAGCTGGAAAAGACGCCCGTCTACAAGAGCGGCAACAGCCTGAGACCCTATCAGCTGGAGGGCTTGAACTGGCTAAAGTTCTCCTGGTACAACTCCCACAACTGCATACTGGCCGACGAGATGGGTCTGGGCAAGACCATCCAGAGTCTGACCTTTGTGCATTCGGTCTACGAGTACGGAATACGCGGTCCATTCCTGGTCATAGCGCCCCTCTCGACCATACCCAACTGGCAGCGCGAATTCGAGGGCTGGACCGACATGAACGTGGTTGTCTATCACGGTTCGGTGACCAGCAAACAGATGATACAGGACTATGAGTTCTACTACAAGACGGACAGCGGCAAGGTGCTCAAGGAGCCCATCAAATTCAATGTGCTTATCACCACCTTTGAGATGATTGTCACCGATTACATGGATCTGAAGGCCTTCAATTGGCGGCTGTGTGTGATTGATGAGGCGCATCGGCTCAAGAATCGCAATTGCAAGCTGCTCGAGGGTCTGCGCCAGTTGAGCCTGGAGCATCGTGTCCTGCTCTCTGGCACACCGTTGCAGAACAACATAAGTGAACTGTTCTCGCTGCTCAATTTCCTGGAGCCCAGTCAGTTCTCGTCGCAGGAGGAGTTCATGTCCGAGTTTGGCAGTCTGCGCACCGAGGAGGAGGTCAACAAACTGCAGGTGCTGCTCAAGCCCATGATGCTGCGACGTCTCAAGGATGATGTGGAGAAGTCACTGGCACCCAAGGAGGAGACCATCATTGAGGTGGAGCTGACCAATATACAAAAGAAATACTATCGCGGCATATTGGAACAAAACTTTAGTTTCCTCAAAAAGGGCACCACCTCCGCCAATATACCCAATCTCATGAATACCATGATGGAGCTGCGCAAGTGCTGCATACATCCCTATCTGCTGAACGGTGCCGAGGAGCAGATCCAGTATGATTTCAAGGCACAACACGGCGAAGATCCCGAATCCTATTACAAGAATCTTATACTTTCCGCCGGTAAAATGGTGCTCATCGACAAGCTGTTGCCCAAGCTGAAGGCCAATGGACATCGCGTCCTGATCTTCAGTCAGATGGTGCGCTGTCTGGACATACTCGAGGACTATTTGGTCTATCGCAAGTATCCCTTCGAGCGTATTGACGGACGTATACGCGGCAATTTGCGTCAGGAGGCCATCGATCGTTATTCCAAACCGGGCTCGGATCGTTTTGTCTTCCTACTGTGCACCAAGGCGGGCGGTTTGGGCATTAATCTGACAGCCGCCGATACTGTCATCATCTATGATTCCGACTGGAATCCACAGAACGATTTGCAGGCCCAGGCGCGTTGTCATCGCATTGGTCAACGCAAAATGGTCAAGATCTATCGCCTGCTATGCAGGAACACCTACGAGCGCGAGATGTTCGACAAGGCCTCAATGAAACTGGGCCTGGACAAGGCTGTGCTGCAGTCGATGAACACGCATGGCTCCAAGGATGGCAACAACAAGCAGTTGTCCAAGAAGGAAATCGAAGATCTACTCAAAAAGGGCGCCTATGGCGCCGTCATGGACGATGACAATGCCGGCGATAAGTTCTGCGAAGAAGATATTGATTCGATCCTAAAGCGACGCACACAGGTCATAACCATGGAATCGGAGAAGGGTTCCACATTCTCGAAGGCCTCGTTTGCCGCCTCAGGCAATCGTTCGGACATTACCATAGATGATCCAGACTTTTGGACCAAATGGGCCAAACGTGTGGACATCGATCCCGATGCCTGTGAACGTGACGAGACCGAGGATCTGGTGCTCTCCGAGCCGCGCAGACGTACCCAGATCAAACGCTACGGACACGAGGATGTCATGGAGATTAACTCCGAGGACTCCTCCAATGAGAACAGCGACGAGGAGGGCGGCATAGGTAAGCTTAGATAATAATCCAAGTTTAATGTTAATGTGAAATTAATGAATCTATTCTTTTGGCCAGGTCTGCGCTCACGTCGCCGCAAAGAGAAACGCGATCGCGCCCGCGAAAAGAAGGGCAACGATGAGTATATACCGCGAGAACGCGACGCATTGGCCGCCCTCGGCCTGGAGGAGATCCAGTATGGCAACTGGGCCAAGTCGGAGTGTTTCAAAGTGGAGAAGGGTCTGCTGTCTTTTGGGTAAGTGTTGACTTATTTGATGAGTCCTTATTGCTTATTTTTATTAATCTTCGCGATATCTGCAACGTCTCATCACATTGTTCAGTTTCATGTTTAATATGTAGATCTTGCGCTGCAGCATTTTCTCCTCCTTCTCCAGATAGATGGCCTCCTCCTTCTTTTCAATATACTCTGTTACGCTGGGCGCCTCGAACTCCTCCAGCTGGGCGCGCAGCTCACCCAATATGATGTGATCCTTCTCATTGTTGGCCTGCACGGCGGCCACCTCCTTTTCCAGTTTGGCTATAGTGCGTGTTATTTCCTCGGTGCGATTGAGCACATTACGCATTTCGGTCTCCAGATTCATCATGGCCTGCTTCTCCTCGGTCATGGCCAGCGAGGTTTTGCCGGTGACACCCTTCAGGCCCGACATGTGTATGTTCTTCTCCTCCAGCTCGTTGGTCAGCTCTGTACGCTTGATGATCAGCTTCTCAAAATCGACCGCTGTCAGAATGCCACTCAGATCCGCTTTGGTTATCAAATCGGCACGATGCTGCTGGCACGTCTCCTGCAGCGAGACAATGGTCAGCCGCATGGTGCCTAGCAGGGCGCGCGCATTCTTAAACCAATTGGCCGTAAATTTGCGCAGCTTGCGCTCAATCTGACGCTCGGTGGCGCTCTCCAGAAATGCCGCATCGTTCTCATCGCGCAGAAAATGTAGCATAAAGTTCTTTTCCGTTTCGATGGTCTCCTCGCTGCGATAATACAGCTCCTCGATTTTGGCACGCAGCTGCTTAACCTCAACCATGGCTGCAATTGGCAAATTATTAGATCATTCGAATTTAATTAGTTAATCTCATTCGAAGCGAAAGCAGTTAACAAGTTGATAATTGCTTATTCGGGACGTACCATTTTTTTCTATGTCTATAACGCGCTTTTCCACCTCGGACGCCGACTTTTCGGCCATTTCAGCCTTGGCCTTGTAGTTGAGCTTATGCTCAACCGGCTTGCGTCGCTCGCCCGTTGTGCTCGTGCCGCCCATGTATGCAGACACGACCACGGATCGCTTGGAGCTGGAATGTCGACTGGATTGCTGTAATCCGTCTGATTGTTGTGTTCGCTTGGTTTGCAATCGCTTCATTATTGAGGTGCGTCGCTGTCGCAGGCCGACCAACAGCTTTGGATCGTTCTTCTCCAGAAAATCAACCATTATGTAGTTCTCCAGCTTGTATATGGCCAGCTCCTTTTGCACCTCTTCAATGGTGCGCAGCATATCCAAGGCATCCAAACTGAACAAACGTTGCTTGCGCTCCTCCTCCGGCAATAGTAAATACTCATCCAGATAGTACTTATACGAAATGCCAATGATGTCAAGTTCGAGCGGCTCGTTATAGTCTGGACCCATTTGCATCTGGGATCTCCGGACATTGAATTTCGATTCATTTGTGACGATACTTTTCTCCGATACGCTCGCCATTTTGGCGATCTTGCTTATGTTTTTGTTTAATTATGCAAACACCCAAAATAATATATGCGAAAGAATCTCGAATGTTTGCTAAACAGAGCCGAGGTAGCGCTTAGTTCTCTCTTTCAAATAATTTTTAATAGCCGAAAAGTATTGTGAATTGGTTTAATCGTATGCTTATATATGAAATAGAATTATTTATAATGTGTACAGAGACTGGTTACTACAAAGAATATTCATGATATGCCAACTATGTTATAGACAAAGTTTTCAAATATCTCCCTTGTGCTTATATTATCTTACAGCTGGGGACGCTGGACGGAACTTCTCGAATTGGGTCAATTCAAGCGCGGATGGCGCGATGTGGACATCGAGGACTGTGCACGCATCATTGTAAGTATTAATTGTATATATTCCATATGTAATACTCCAATCCTTGAAATGATGACCAACCATGCTAATATTGAGAGAACTTTAGGTTTTCGCTGAGTAAAAACACAACTTCTCAAACCGCTGAACACACAAACTAGTTACTCGCTACTCGCTACTCGTTACTCGTTGCCATAAAACTAACGTGTATCTTTTGAATACAACTCTTACAGCTGCTGTACTGCCTGCAGGTCTACAAGGGCGACGAGAAGATCAAGACATTCATTTGGGATCTAATCACACCCACCGAGGACGGCGAGGTCCAGAAGATCAGCAGGGATCATAGTGGCCTACACAACTTGGTGCCACGAGGTAGGAATGCCAAAGGTATGGTAAAAGATACATTCACGCACTCCAACTGCTGCACGGACGTAGAGAGTTATCCAAATAAAAAAACATAAAAAAAAAGAGCTGCCTCAAACTAGAAATTACTCGTATTGTAAAAAAAAAAAAACACAAATTAGTACACACTATATCTCTGGGCTGGACTACCTTATCCTACCTACCTAACAACTATAAATACTATAAGTACCCAACTATTTTTGAACTTCTAAAAATTTGTTCAACTTGTGAATCGAACCACGCTCTGGCAGCTATATATTTTTATATATATATATATCTGATCTATTCCTAACTGGGTTCTGTGTGATACAATGCCTAACTTTGACGCCCTCTCAAAACCCAATACCAATTCTTTGTTATTTTAACTAAACCAACTCAACCAGCCTGATCGTCTGTCCGATATCGGCTGTACATATACATATATATATATATATATATTATATAGAAATTAGAAACTGACTCGACGCAAACTGGACCTGACGTACGCCAATAACTGATAAAAATGTTGAAGGAAAGTGTGTGTATGTTTTGTTGCCATGCAATTGTATGCCTTTTACTATAACCTTTTATGATTTATAATATCTATATAAATATATATTCCTTATATTTTTTTTTTGTGTACATCTCAACTAACGTTTAAAACATGCCACATTAGTTAAAACAATCTTTATTACTGTGCCATATTTTTCCATTACTAATCTTCGCGTGTCTACCTTGCAATTTTATTGTTCATATATTTTGGATATATAGGGGGTTTTTAAATAGTAGCTCTATTATTCAACATGTAGCCTATTGTTTTGATATATATCAAGAAACCCAAAAGAAACTGATTAAGATTAGATTTTGAGGATTGATTCCTAAGGGTCTGCTTGTCTGCTCACTAGCTGTTCAAATTCGCAACCGGTTCTTTCTATTGTCGTTAATATAAATGTGTGAACAGCTTGATTGAATCAGGAGAACTGTGATATTATCTTTTATCTTACCTTTGGAAGTTCTATGTAAGAATTTATTTGAGACATGATTTATTTGTTTTAGGAAAAGCTTATGGTCGAAAGTCCAAAAGAAGTTTTCTTCTTTAGCCGATCCTTAACACCTATTTCCAAATAATACTTAACTTCTTCCTGTTAAGAAATAAGATAAGATATATTTGTTTTTTTCTGCGGCATATTATTAACTCCAAGATCTTATTTGCAAGTGGAGCGCAACTTCGGCAAGTCGAAGCAATATTTCATGTCAACTTTTATTATAGTTTGTTTTTTTTTTTTATCTCATCACATATCATATCACATTGTATCGTAACGCCCGCTGTACATAAATCGAGTAGTTGTCATGCATCCATTATCACATCCAGAGTTGAGCTCGTTGAGAGTCAACGCCACAGAAAAGGATTCGCCAATAAATTTCGTTTTTATTACGTTTACAGGACGCAATGGCGGCAAGTCGAACAAGGAAATGGGCGGCGGCAGCTCGACGCCAGCGCCGGGCACCGCATCCGGCAGCAACAGTGGCAACACAACGCCCGCCCATAAGTCCAGCGCCCTGGAGGCTGGCGGCAGCGACAAGGATCAGGGCTCGGGGATCAGTGCCAGCGCCGTGGCAGCTGCCGTTGCGCCCGCACCGCCCACCAGCATACACGATCCCAATCATTGGAGCAAGAAGGAGAAATACGATGCGGATGCGTATCTGGAGGGCGCCTACAAGAAACACCTGGGCAGACACGCGAATAAGTGAGTCGTGTGGAATCGAATTTGTTTAAACTAACAAGCCCCCAATCCAAATGCCAGGCCGTCTTTTGCTAACACAACCAAAACCTATTCTCTTTCTCTTCCCTTTGCTTTCATTTGTCTCTCACACACACACACACACACGCTTTTTTTTATTGTTTATTTACACTTTTGTGTGCTTTCACAGGGTATTGCTGCGCGTGCGGATGCTCTACTATATACAGCACGAGGTCATTGGCGATTTAGTGCAGCAGATTAAGGATAATACGCCCATCAGGTAGGCGCTTTACTGTACCAATGAGTACATTATCATTAACATCATCACATCATGATTGTTGTCGTTGATTGATTGACTGATTGTTGTTGCACTCTAAAAAAAAAAAAGAAAGAGCGCCAAAGCATTCGTTTTATTTCTCTTTGTCTCTCTCTCTCTCATTTATATATACTATATTCATAATTTTGTTTATTTTTTATTATTTATATTTAACATTATTTAGTTCGTTGTGCCATGTTTTAATAGTTGTCCTTAATTAGTTTTATTAGCTACTAAAAAAAAAAAGTGCCAATTTGTTTAACTATGCTAGTTTCTTGACTCTCTTAACTAAAGTACAGTTGAATCGTTTAAGCTCTTGAATAATCTTTCTGCTCTGGTTCTTTTAACTTTTAACTGCAGTTGTATTACTTTTGGGCACACTTGCTCGCTTTTGTGTGAGCGCCCGCTCTCGCTATCTTAATGCTCTCTCTATCTCTCTCTCTCACTTTATATATCTCTCACTCGTTACTAAACTCTCGTTACTAATTTCCTCTCGTTACTAAACAATCGCTCCCTGTTTAGACGTTCCAAACGTTTGTTCCATGCAACTTTTAATACATTTTGTACATTCCCCCAAACTTTTTTCAACTCGTTACCTTTTTACCCAAAAAATAAAATAAACAATTTACTAAATGGTCCGCATCGTAAGCTCAATTTTCTCTCGCTGTGTTTTGTTTTGCACATAACAAATCTTTTGACGAATATTCTAATTGCTAATTTGAATACGAATATGTATATTATGTATGTATGTATGTATAAATATATACACATTCACTGACAACTTTTGGAACAACAACAACAACAACTACGACTACAACAACAACAACAACAACTACTGCCGCAGTACGAAAGCAAAGCAACTAGCACCCAATCTGGAAAGGTAATATCTATGCACACATCTCGCTCTCTCGCCCGTTCGCTCGTTCGTTCGCTCGCTCGCTCGCTCGCTCGCACGCACGCATCCCGCCCACCATATCCGCCCATTTGAAGCGAATCAGGCGAATAGGGATATCAGAAAAATAAACTAAATGCTCATATACATACATATATCGTTACATCGATCGATCAACGAAATGCTCTAAACCAACGTTACATACAAATTATATGCACAGAATATACATCTATATAATTTTCCCAAAATCTTCCAAATTCCAAATCTAAAAAGCTGCATTAACAAATTTTTCCAAAAAAAAAAAAAAAATAACAAAACAAACATCTCTTTAGTTGCATTTTGTAGTTTGTACTCAAAAAAAAACCCGTAAAATGTGATTGATTTGTAAACTGTTTAATCCGTAGCACAAATTGGCAATTAACAAACCACAAAACACAAGTTTTATAATTTGTTTAATTTTCGTTTCGTATTTTGCTTTATAGTTTTTCTTTCTTTTATTTTTTTGTTGTTCTTTTAATTTACTACAAAAAAACAATGCATAAAATTTGTAAAAACAAAAACACAAAATTGTACTTAAAATTTTTACTAAACAACGCATTCAATTCTTATTCCCCTTCATCTATATATATATCTCTCTCTCAATATACACGTTTATATATATATATATATTTGCATATATATATATACATATGTGTGTATATGTCGTATGTGTGTGTATATCTATCGAAACATGTAGCGAGCTACCCATACGCCCGCCGCCAACGCCAGATCAAGTGCCATCCTCATGGTGGAATCCCATTTGTTGTGATAAGAGCCTATTGGTCGGAACCTATAAACATGGCTGTGAAATGTATCGTCAGATGCGCGCCGATCCGAATCTGTGCTTTGTCACCCATGTGGGCGCCGGTGCCGGTGACGATTTGGCCGTCACGAATTTGCCAATGTAAGTAGAGTATATCCAAAAAAAAAAAAAAAAAAAAAAAACAAAAACAACCCTCTTCCACCTACCCACACACAAACACACACACACACACACCTTCCCCTCCACTCCTCCATACTAGCTATGCCTAAATAGGGTACCATTTTGCCATATCGTAATACCACATAAGCCACAAGTACTAATACCACACAAAATATCCAGACCAGACTCTAGCCATATATGGAAATCAAACCAGGATACATCTGGTAGAAATAACAGACAAATAATGTGCACAGTTGCAAACAGGAATTGAAATTATTTTGTGTATATATAACTAATAGAAATTATACCTTAACTAGTCCATAAAAATCGCATTTAGCTTAAGCGTAATATACATGAAGCTATTGGGTGTGACCGTATTTTGAGAAGTTTCACGAAATTATCCATGAAATTGAGCAAATCACAGCAAAAATTATAATTTAAAGGTAAAGAATTCCAATTTCTGAAAAGCTTTTTAGTTTATTGATTATTCAATTTGATACATTCAATTTAAGTTTGCAAATTGCAAGTGTAGAACAGCTAATATAGCCAATAAACATAACATATTACAGGGTATACACACGTTTACCCCCCAATCCAATCAATTGGCCTACAGTAAACGGTCACACTGAATACTTGCTAGCCAAATGTTAAATTTATATTGTGTGTGTGTGTGTGCGATTGTGTGCGAGTATTTCACATGTTAGAATCGATAAAAATCGATAATTATCGATTTAAATGTAGATCACTAAACGATCTGGTTTGCATTCACAGAAATGAGGACGACGCAAATTCAAAGCACGATGACGGCGACGAGGTGGACGACGATGGCACCACGACCACCAAAGATTCGGATTCGACAAAGCTAACGGCCGGCGATAACAAGGACTCGCTAGATCCGGAGCGCCCCAGTTCGTCGGGTAAGAGCGACAAGTGCGATAACAGCCAAGGAACCAAAATCAAAGCCGCCAACGCGGAACTCATCCCGGCTGTGGGCAATGGCAGCGCCGTCGAGGCCGACGCCACGGCAGCGGCGTCAGCAGCTCCAACAAACGAATCGGCACAAAAAGAATGCGAAAACGAAATTGAAACTGAAAACGATAACCAAATAGATAAAAACAATGAAAAGGCGAAAGCCAAAAGCGAGCAGCCCGCCGGCGAGGCAGAGGCCGAGGCAGACGTCGCCGAAGCTGCCGATGCCGTCGCAGTTGATGCCGACTCCAGCTCAACGGCGATGGCCGGTGGCGATGGCGATACTGTGGCAGCCACTGCAGCGTCCGCGACGCCAAGCGCATTGGACACTGAAATGGATGCGGATGCCAAGAGTCAAGATCAGGCCCAGGCTAATGGCAAGCCCGCTGCGCCAGCCGATAGCGAAGCCGACGATGCCGCTGCCATTGCTACGGTCGAGTCCGGTTCAGATTCATGCACTAACGCTAATACCACCACCACCACCACCACCACCACAAATATCACCAATACCACCACCACCACCACTTCTACTACTATAACCACCATTACCAATCCATCATCCACCACAACAACAACTACTACAACAACGACTGCAGCGGCCCCTGGCGGCCCCGGGGAGTCAGCGGGTCAGAACTGCGAAAATGCTAACTCCAACTCAAATTTAGGCTTAGACGAGGAGGAGAGCGTCGCCGGCAGCTATCCGCCATCCACATTGGCCGCCGTCGAGGATGCCACAATGTGGCCATCAATGCAGGATCTCAATACACGATTACGTCGCGTCATCACCGCCTATCAGCGCAACTACAAAAAGGAGGAGCTCAAGCAGCAGCAAAAGGCCAAGGTAAGTGCGAGTCCCGTACTCAACAATCCAGCTTCAAAAGCCACATACAAACCATCCCATCACAAGCTCCACACTATATATGTACATACATCTGTCACTTGTTGCGTCTGTTTCACACGGAAAACAAAAAAGAATGTCCGCCCCTTACTGTGTTTTATCCAGTATTATAGCTACAACAATGTATCGATATATATCGATTATATATCGATTTGATCTATTGAATATTTTGTTAATGTACAATGTACTCCTTGCACTCCCAAAAAATCCAACTATCTAAAAAAAGCACAACAAATGCTACAGCAAGAATGATGGAATTAATAAATTAAACTAGAAACTAGTATCGATAAAATCGATTATTAATCGATATAGTTGACTGTTCGACAAATTGGAAAGTAACTAGATGAAAACTTATATCTATCGACAGATATTGATATTTTAAGTGAAAAGATAATTTGTGAATAATATAATAATCTGCAGACTAAAATATCGATAACATATCGATAAAAATGTGTATTTTCGATTTAATTATCAAAATGATACTGATAAATCGATTTGTGTTTCAATCAATCAAACTTTCGAAATATCGATAAATCCCCAATATATCGAATGTGCATTTATCGTCTATCGATTAATCGTGTCTATTAGCGGATCGAATGTCTATCGATTAATTTTTTTAAATATTTCTTGCGTTTCCATCATTCTTGCAATGCCCGATTGTATTACCTAAACAATTTGTGATTATCGTTTTGTATTTTGAAAATAACACACCAAAAAAAAAAACCAATCAAAATTCGTAGTGTCCTGTAAGAGGACATATTCAAGTATGTAGTTTTGTTGCTTAGCTGTTGGCCGTAGATAACTACTTGGCTTAGATTTGCGAAAAAAAAAACAACAACAAATTGTAAATGTAGTTAAAGTAGATATGAAACCGGAACTAGAACGTGGACTGACTGACGAATCTGGCGAACAGCCAACAGCTGATTAACAAAACTACCTGCGCACCCGCCTCCCTCCACTGCCCCCCGCCCCTGTTCTGTCTCGCTCTCCCTCAAGTCATTTGGCAGCAGTAGCCACACACACACACACGCACACACGCATATACCACACCCTCACACACTCGCTCTCATGATGTTAAATGTGCGCTTTTCTTTGTAACCGAGTTCTTACCAACACCCTACAAATCCTCCTCCTCTGCCTCAACAGCTACAGGCACTGGTCTCCTCGACGCCGCCGCTATCGGTGCCCACCACGCCGACGCTGCAGTCGATGCAAATGCAGATGCAGAGCGCCGGTGGTGGTGGTGCCGTTGGCAATGCGGTCGCCGGCAGTGTCGTTGGCGCCGGCGGCTCTGTTAGCCAGCTCCAGCAGCAACTCGACTCGAGCAATCGCAGCCTGCAGGCGCTGATGCAGTCGCAGGGTGCCAGCACCTCGGCTGCAGCAGCAGCAGCTGCTGCCGCCGCTGCCGCCGCCTCGGGCAGCGGTTCGACACTACAGCACGGATTGGTGGGGCAGCATCAGCAACAGCAACAGCAGCAGCAGCAACAACAACAGCAGCAACAACAGCAACAGCAACAACAACAACAACAGCAGCAGGTCGGCGGAACTCAGGTGCCAGCCATGCCCACAGCCGCCGATATCAGCCTTATGCTGAGCATCCTCAACACAACCGATGTCAGCCAATTGGCCAACTTGGATATCAACAAACTGGCCATGTATTTGGTTAGTATGAACAATGTACGTGAAAAGCCTCTCTCTCTCTCTCTCTATATATATATATATATAATATAATAATATATGATATTACAACACAATGCGCTATCAAACCAAATCAAAAATTCACTCTGCCATACATCCAAAACTTATCACCCCCTCAGCAGCACTTTGTGCCCACAATATAACCCGCTAATCGGCAACATCATGCAGAACTTAACACACCCTTACTTCTCAGTCGGCCCTGCTTGGGCCTTAATAGACCATGACCAACCCGCCCGCCACTCGCCACTCGCCAAACTCAAACTCAATCAAACGCCCTCCCCCACAACTCACCACACTACACTGACAATTACTTACCACACTCACACACACACACCAGCACATCTATCATATAACGTTGCATTGATCGAACTAACCCTTTTATTTTAGAGTACATTTAGCCAAATTACCTAACCAGCATGCCCTTTGCTTACACTTTTCATATATATAATTATAGAGTATTTTTTTGTGTACCTAAACTTTTGTATTTAGTTTATTAGTTTACTAAAATTCAGGGTGTGTGTTAACTATATATATTTTAGTATAAAACCATTTTTATCCGATCTAATATTTCCTTTTCAAATGGTAATTATTCTCTGAGTTTACCAATTTCGTGGGGTTTTAAAAGTGTTTGTCCGCTTGAAAGAAAAAAGAAATGCCAAATAGGCCTAAAGTTGATACTTTTCCAAATCTTTAGATATTTCTGGGTGTTGTAAATTATAAAGAATTGAATACAATTCGAATTTTACACTCTAAACCTCATTAAAACACCGAAGATTAGAGATTTATGAAGAAAATATTGCCCTTAAATTATTGACTAGCTTACTTACTATATTTAGACTAAGTATAGGTACTTATACTAAGTATAAACCGGTTTTTCGTGTATTTAGTGCTTGCATTTTCTCGTTTTGAGTGATTTTTGAGTCGAAAGTTAAATCAATAGTTTTGAGGTTAAATTCGAGTATTTTTTAGTTTTTGCTGATTTATACCGTTGTCTTCTCGCGTTTCGATTGGTATCTGTGTTTATCGATAAGCCCCTTCGCTCGCGTGCATTCAAATGCGAATTTCAATGTGGAGTGGCAATAAATGAAGTGTGCGAAAAGTCAAAAGAGGAAATCTGGCAAGCAGCGGCAGCAGTGAAAAAGAGGCGAAGCTAAATAAAATAAGTTACACCCACCGTGCGAGGTGGTGGCCGTCGCTGATTTCTGTCAACTACATGCGAGTGTATATGTAACTGTCTCGCTGTGCATATGTGTGCTGCGAGTGTGTGTGTGTGAGTGTGTACTTCCGAATGTTCAAACAAAAGCAACGACGACAACGCTGACAAAACGAGACGCAAGACAAGCCGCGAGAGCATCAGCAGCAGCAGCGGCGAAAATACAAATACAAATACAAATGCGAATGCAAAATACACTTATGCTTAATTTATGCAAAATAAAAGAAGAAGAAAAAAGCACACACACACACACACAGAGAGAGCGGGCGACGAGCCGCATTTGAAGCCAGGCCCGAAATATGGTGCACACGAGATGCTCGGGCGCGAATGAGCAGCCAAACGAGCAAACGAGAAAATGTCAAACCAGCCGCCCAAAATGTTGGTCGGTTTGGGGTCCCGTTACCATCTCATCGATAGTAGGCAAACAGTGAAGCCACAGACATGTTGCCCAACTGCTCTTGGGTCAAATTATGAGATGCGACTTGGAGATGGGAGTCAATTGTACAACCTGACGCGCATTTTACTGTAGCAAAAACAACAACAGCGACGTCGACGCCATTATCAAAAGGCAAAGCGAACACCAGCGCCATCAATCAAAGCAGCAACAACAACAACAGCAGCAGCAGCAGCAGTAATAATGAAGGCAGCGTCGACGCCAGCAGCAGCAAGAAGAGCAAGCAAAACGGTCACAGGCAAAGCCGCTTTGTTGTTGTTGTTGTATTGACGAAGTTCTTCTTTGGTGACGATGATTGTTGCCGCGTCGGCAGCGCGGCGTTGGCGGGCGACGATGGTCTCTGACTGTTGGGTATTGAAATCGGTATCGGTATCGGGTGGTTGTTGTTGCTGCTGCTGCTGCTGCTGCTGCTGCTGCTGCTGCTGCTGCTACGTTGGCTGTACTTGTGCGTCGTGGTTTGTATTAGTTTTTCATGACGACGCCTGTGTCTGTATGTGTGTGTATGTGTCTGTATGTGTGTCTGTATGTGTGTGTAATTTTACATTTTCTGGATTTATCCAATGTTTAATTTTTTGCCTTCATTGCCCACCCAAATGCTGTTGACGTCGCGTTGCTCTCAGTCCGCATATCCGTATCCGTGTCGCCGCTCTCACGGGGCGAATTATTGAGCGAGACGATGGCGAATATGTGACTTGGTTGTGGTGACCTGTTCCGCTCCTGCTCTGCTCCCTCGCTGCCTGTTTCTTACAGTCCGCGGCGCGTCAATAAAGCCAAAGCCTAATTGTGCTCATTTGAGCTCATCTTTGTTGTTGTTGTTGTTGTTTTTGCAGTCTGCTCCTTTTGCTCCACTGTTCGTTCGCCGCCTGCTTTACGTGTTCTCTTTTCGCCACTTGCAGCAGCAGCAGCAGCTTAAGATATTGTTGTTGCTGTTTCCTTTTTTCGATTTGCAACGTGTATTTAGAACACAAGCATAAGAGTTGGCTTGCATGTGTGTGATTTTATGTATATACATATACGCTCTTGTGTGCGTGTGTGTGAAGATGTTTTCCATTCTTTTTGTGGCATCTTTCTGGTGTGCGATTTGCTTGGATGCTCACCTTGCTGACCGCTATTCGATTTATTATTTTATTAGCATTTGTTGCACAGTGGTGCAATTGCTATTATTCCTGCATGCACATGCATGTATTTTCAGTTAGTTGCTTGACTACTTTGCGCGTGCGTCTCACGTGTTGCTTGCTGTTGCAGCTGCTGCCGCATCGGCGCATTCGTTTCACACCTGTCGGCCATAAATAATTCGAATTTTTTGTTTTCAAGAAAACCTGCCCAGTGTGCAATGGTCAGTTCATTAAAAGTTGCATACATGCACACACACTCACACACACATACATGGATGTTCGAGTATTGGGATACGTATGTATACGAAATGAGCCGCTGTTGTCTACCTGCCTTTTGATTTAGTTTTGCGTTACGCTTTAGTCAAATTTACGACCACACATGCATAGAAAAAACGTCACACGCTCATACTCACACTAACACATACACACAATCTCTCACGTGCAGTTGCAGTTTCTCTCTCACCGGCCGATCATGTTTTTACATGTGTGTGTTTGTGTGTGTGTGTGTGCGCGTGTGTGTGTTTAGTCATATGCATTTGCTGAAGATGTGTCGCTGTCGCCGTCGATTGGCAGCCTGCTTTGTGCTGCGGCTGCGGCTGCTGCTGGTGGTGGGATTGTTGGATGTGTATCTGTATCTTACAGATTGATTAATAATCTCGTTTTTATACACGACAGCGCGCTCTCGCTCGCTACTTTGGCAATGGCTACGTGCTTATCGCACTTTGGTGCAGTTTCTATCTTTCGCATTACTTGTGTTCTTTCTGAATACACATGTATGTAGGCTACATGTGTGTGTGTGTGTGTGTGTGTGTGTGTACATATGTGTAATGTAGTATGTAGATTAGTTGCCCATGCCAAAGGTCGTATTAATTAAACTATAACAAGGGTCACGAATTGCGTTTGCATATGGACAATTTTCTAGATGTATTTCCTGTCACGTGTATGTGTATGTGTGTGTGTGTGTGTGCGCGCACATTTTGTACCTGAAATTTTAATCCATTTCTCTGGCTATTATTTTATTTTATCCCTTTTATGCTGTGTGTCCTTTGCTTGATTGCGCCAACATCAGCCGCAGCCGTCGCCAGCCGCAGTCGCAGTCACTGCGTTTGCTGATTCCTCTACTTCTGCCTTGTCGTCAACAGTTTTTGTGGTACATTTGTTTCATTGCTTGGCTTTTTTGCCGTGTATGCCCCCCCCTTTCCCATCTTTGCGTCACATATATGAGCATGTATGCGTGTGTGTGTGTGTGACAGGCTCTGGCTTTGCCATTGCCTTTTGCTTACATTACACAGTTGACACAATGTGCGCTGCCTTCTCATTCTTCTTCAACTCGTCCATCTAGTGCACACAGACACAGAATAAATACATACGCTCTCGCCAGCGGCGCTCTCGCGTCCAATGCGCTCACTGTCTCTCTCTCGCTCTCTCTCTCTCTTTTTCTCGCTCTCGCTCTGTCTGCCTCTCTGGGTACACTGCAAGTGACGCTTTGCCTTTGCCTTTGGCTTCGCCTTCGCCTTGCCGCGCTCATTCACCTCAGAGGACGGACGACAGGCTGTGACTGCCTTTCTGCCTGCCCATCTCATTCATATTCACATTCACCCAAAACGGCGTTTGGCTTAATCTCACGATTGTTTGGTTTCGTTTGGTTTGGTTTTTCTGCTCTGGCTCTGGTTCAGCTCTGCTCTGCTCAGCTCAACTTAGCTCTGCTCTGCTCCCTCGCTCAATAGTAGTTGCTTGGCGTTGTTGGTTGTTGGTTTGACTAGCGACCCTCTCCCCCGTTCTCTACGTTGCCGTTACCGTCGCTGTTGCTGGCTGATTCGCATTCGATTTTAGCTGCTAGTGCCGCTGCCGCCGTCGCTGCTTCCGTGCGCGTATGCGTCCCCGTTGTGGTCTTTGTATATGTATGTATGCATGAGTGTGTGTAAGTGTGTGTGTGTGAGGAGTGTTTCTTGTATTTAGTCCGCAATGCGCTCGCTCATTATTTGTTTGAGCGCCGCGGTGTAAAGTTGTAAAAAGTCCAAGTGCTTGAGCAGCAAACGCATCCATATCCAAAACAACGTTGTCGTTGTGTCGGGGCTTTACGTATCGGCGCGACCCGTCGTCTTTACATGTGTCTCTCCCTCTCGCACCCGCTCAATGCACTAGTTTGTGTGTGTGTGTGTTTGCGTGTGTTTGTGTAGAAGAAATAATAATAATCAAACGAATGGAAAAATGTAATTGCTGAAGCAAAAGTAGACGACAGAACGAGACGAGGCGCGAGACGATTGCGCGAGTGAAGAGTGGCGAGTGCAGACGTCGCAACAACAACAACAACAACAAGCACAAGCACAAACAACGTGCAAATGGCAAATGTGTCGCCGCAATGAATGATAATTAGTGCTTAATTAAAATCAATAATGTCGAAATCGAAAACCATTTCAATATTTGTGATATAGCATATAGATATGCATATACATACATATGTATTATAATTGTAATTGTAAATTCAATTGCATATCGAAATTGAGTGTGTGTGTGTTTGTGCGTCACTGTGTCTATATACATACATACATATGTGCCTAAAATTGTCTAATACAAAATGGAGGTTATTAAACCCATGGACTTTAGCAGCTTCTCGGCCTTTTGCGAGCATCTAAATAAATCAACAGCAGCCGTTACAGCAGTAACAACAACAACAACAGCAGCGCCCACTTTAAACAATGGCATTTATTTGGAGGTAAAACTACAACAACTACAACAACAACAACAAAAAAATACAATGACAATGACAATTTATTGTATAAAATATGCAAAAACTTAATTAAAATGAAGGCAAATTGGCAAACGAAATAAATGTGAATGCAAAGAATGCGTGCAGGAAAAAAAAAACATACAAAAGAAGCTAAACTAAAAGAAACCAAAGAACAAGCAGAAGCAGCAATAAAAGTAACAACCAACAGCGGCGGGGCAGCAAGTAGTCAGAGTCGAGCCGCCGCAAAGTTAAAACGAAATACAAAACAATAAATTTATGCCTATAGATTTCACATGTACGAGCGTTGCCACTTACACGGCCAGTGTAACCCACTCTCTCAAAAAAAACTCTCTCACACACACAAACACAGAGAAACACAGAGGCAAACAAATAAACAAACACACGTTAACCAGTTGGGTGTCTCAGTGTGCGCTCATTTAAATTCGTTTTGCCGCCTCTGTCTCTTTTACCCCATTTCGCCGCAAGTCAAGCCGTTTGCCGTTTGCCGTTGCCGTTGCCGTTGCTTTTGCCATTGCTTGCTACTTACTAATAATCATAATCAATCGCTCGCACTTGTATCGTGCAAATGCCCGAAGAACAGGGGCGAATGCGAAGGAGTCGCGTAGCGTCGCTTCGCGTGTCGTGTTGTGTGCGCAAGCGAGATGGTCTATAAGATATAAATGAGATTGGGTCGGGTGGGGGCGTCAAGCAGAAGAGGTCGTACGTTCAGTCTCTTTAGCTTGCTCGCTTTGTCGTTTGTTTTTGTTTGTCGTCCCCCCTTTATTTATTTTTTTTTTTTTTGGGCTATCGTTGCTTGAAATTTGTATAGCGAAGAGCCGTTAGCCTGCACATGTATAGATATATACATATAAACGCACACACACACACACACACACAGTGTGCTGCCAACCTGCGCCAATTGGCATCCTTGAAGCCAGACTTGCCAACATGGCCACGAGAGCATCAGCACACCCCCTCCCCACGCCACCCACTAAGGCACTTGACTGCAAGAGCCGTTTGCATTTATGTTGTTGTTTTGATTTGCATTCACACACTTGCACATTTAAAATAAATATGTATGTATGTACATATATGTTTTGTGCTTTTGCGTTATATTTGCAACCACCTGGCAACGCTGTCTAAGGAGTTGCCGACTGACAGCACATTTTTGGGGGGCTCTATCCCCGCCCCCCCGCCTCACATTATTATTATTATCATAACTAACTACAAAACCGGCGCCCGTGCTTTAGAGTGTGGGGCTAGGCCACACACAAGAAATGTGCTTGTGACTGTGTGTGTGGGTGTGTGTGTGTGTGAAGAGAGCTTCTTGTGCTGGCCATGCAATTGGTCTCGCAGGATTCATTTGTTTTGTCTCCTGCTGCCTCCGCGTCTCGTGCTCAATTGTCGCTGTGGCATTTGCCCTCTGCCCGCTCTGTGTCGCTCGCTCTATTAGGGGTGTAAAATGGATTTTTTTTTTACTTTTATTATTATGATTTTATTGTATTTCCAGTTTCAGTTTCAGTTCGCTCGTATTTAGTCGGCGTCGGCGTCGGCGTCGGCGTCGGCGTCGGCGTCGTCGACGTCGTCGCCATTGTCTCTCATTTTGCCCCTTTGCTTTGCGCTCGCCATTCGCATTTAGTACTTTTCGCAAACATTTTTGTAATTTTGAAAGGCTGGCCCGGTACCGACCACCAACCCCAAGCACTACCCCCTACACACACACACACCCAACACCATTGAGAGCTGTCCTGGTAGCACCCACCCCTGATGCATCCCGTTATGTTGTTGTTGTTGACGATGATGATGATGATGAGGGGTCTCCGGGGGTACCCCGACGGACGCGTCGTTGCTTTTAATTTTTTTCTTTCTCAAATTGTGTAAATATTCGTAATGAATTTGCGCTGCATTTTTTTTCTCCTGTATACCCTGTACCCATTGAAGTGGACAGAGAAACGGGTATGCAAGTTTCCTATGCACTATTAGAGATAGCGAAATTTTGAAGTTTTCCATTGAGGGAGATTATGTAAAATATGTGTCAAGTAGTTGACGGAGCTTACCAGATTGGGTATGTTGGTTTTCATATAGCACACAGAAATGCAGAAAATTTCACTTGTTGAATATTTTGTACAGTTTCTCCAAGCTTTGCGCTTTGATAAATTAATCAAGTTTCATACCATAAAAATATGAAAAATTGTTAAAGATCGGACTATGGACAAATTTCAAGTTACGTATATAGGCTACGACAACTCAGCGTCGAGTACAGGGTATTTCCGAGTCGCACACGCTAGACACTCTAGAGGATTTTTACGTGCTCTCTTTCGGACTGGTTATCGGCAGTCAAATTGCATGGCTATATGACCCCCTTCCTACATAAATAGATATACATATTTATAGTATATACATGTATATACATCCATCTTTCAGCTACAAGGGCCTTATCTTATCTTACGCCTGCCTTTTGGTATGCCATGAATGGGTAACGCTTGTAAAGTAGCCAAGATTATACTACTTCGTGTCTGATGATGCCTCTTTAATCTATTAACAAGTCAACACACTGAATCGGGTTGAGTCAGCAGTCATGAGAAAATTGTGATTAAATAAGAAATCGAATAAATAACCAACAGAAATATATAGGGAAATTCAAAAGAAAATACTTAGATACATAAATATTGTAGAAATAGACATACAAACTGAATGATTGCATAGTCTCGGATATGGTATGTACAGCATAAAGATAATCAGGAGTTGTTATATATAGATACACTGGAAACTAAAGCTATTTCCAATAAGTGAAACGCATATAATTTATATATCTAAAATGAGGACGAAGATCTTTTGGGACAATTCACCTATATGGGCGGAAAAGGGGTGAAATGGGATTAGAATTTAGAGAAAACCCACGTGGACTAATTTAAAACAAGTTTCTTATCATTTATGGCTAGACCTCAATTCGAACTCTACGAAATTCCAAACCACACAATACAATTAATATTTAATATATATATTTAATCTTTTGTTTATGCAAATCCCACTCATGCAAAACTCTTTAATTTTGCAGAAAATGGAGCGCCAGGGCAAGATGGAGCTGGCGGCGAAGGAGCGCGAGTCGCAGCGCCTGCAGCTGATACCCAAAAAATGGAATCGTCGCGAGGAATATGAATTTCTGCGCGTGCTCACCGGCTACGGTGTCGATATGCAGCTGAGCACATCCATGGGCGGCGGCAGCAGCAGTAGCCACAGTCCCGACTGGACCAAGTTCAAGCAGATGGCACATCTGGAGCGCAAAAGCGACGAGACGCTCAGCGACTACTATAAGGTCTTTGTGGCCATGTGCCGGCGCCAGGCGGGCCTGAAGCTTAGCGAGAACGAGCGCGGTCTGGAGGGCATCATTGAGGAGGTCGAAAAGGAGCACGCCAAGCTCATACTGGATCGCCTGGAGTTGCTGGCCAAGCTGCGCGAAGTGGCGCGCAATCCCCAGCTCGACGAGCGGCTCAAGCAGTGCGCCATGAACACCGATACGCCCGACTGGTGGGAGCCCGGACGGCACGATAAGGAACTGATTGCGGCCGTGCTCAAGCATGGTCTTTACCGCTCCGAGACGTTCATCTTTAACGATCCCAACTTTAGTTTCTGCGAGTCGGAGAAGCGTTTCATACGCGAGCTCGAGGCACAGATTCAGCGCACCATCAAACTGGAGGCCTTTAACGCCGAGAAGGCCGAAAAGGCGGCAGCCGCTGAAAAAGCAGCTGCAGCCGAAAAAGCAGCTGCGGCGGCAGCGGCGACGGCAGCGGCGACGGCAGCAGCGGCAGCTGCTGCAGTCAAGCACGAGGTTATTGATCTGGATGATGAGCTGCTCACCAAGGAGAGTGTCATCAAAAAGGAGTCGCCCGTCAAGGCTGAAGTTAATGCCGATCAGAGCACAGACAAAGCCGAGGTCGAGGAAAGCGAAGAGAAACCAGTGAACAAATCAGCAACAGAGAAAATGGAAGAGGATGAGGTAGTCCAAGCCGAGAAGGCAGACAAGGAATCGCTGGATGAAGCCAAGCTGCTGCCCACTGAAGCCGCAGAAGAGGCAGCGGAAGCTGAAGCCGAAGCCGAAACCGAAGTCAAGCTCAAGGAGAGCGAAGAAAAAATGGACGTAGATGAACCAATTGCGGAAAATGGTAACGAAAAGGAGGCTGCAACTGAGGCAGATGCCACGGCCGACTCCGAGAAGCCAGCCGAAAGCCTAAAGTCAGAGGCAGCCGAAACAGAGAAGTCGAGCGAAAAGGCGGAAGACAGTCCAATGGACACGGAGCCCGCCAAGTTGACAGTTGCCGAGGAAAAGGAATCTGCCGAAGCATCGGAAGAGGAAGCGACAGCTGTCAAAGCAGAAGCTGCGAACGAGAAAAGCGACGAGATAGTTGAGACCGGCGCCAAGGAAAAGCCAGAGGCGGCAGATAAGGAACCAGCTGCAGCAGCAGCCGAAAGTGAGTCCAAGAAAATCGACGCGGAAGCGGATGCCAGCAAAACAGGAGAAGCCACCGCGGAGGTCAAGAGCGTTGAGAAGCCGCCCGCAGAACAGGAGATACTCGACCTGGTGGCCGGGCCCAGCGATCCCGATGACGACGAGGTCATGAAGGAGAAGGAGAAAGCCGTTGAGGAGGAGTGCAAAAAGCAAGCAGCCGAACTGAAAGCACGCTTTCCCGATCTGGAGGTCATTCAGCCGGCGACTGTGAAACAGCAAAAGCTGGAGAAGCCCAAGCTGGAGATGTGCATGATACGCTGGTTCAAGGACTTCGCCCTGGAGCGACGCATCGCACACATTGTGGTCTGCGTGGAGACGAACAAATGGCCCGTGGACAAGCACTACAGCGCCTTTGCTGGCCTAAAGGGCACCACAGACCTCAACATTGCCCTGCACGAGTCCATACCCCATCTGAATAGCAGCGAGCGACGCTCGACAACGCCCGACGTGATAACCATAACCACAGATCAGGGCGTGACCAAGCATCTGCAGGCCTCCCAAATGCAACAGGTGGCCAGCAATGCCAGCGTTTCTTCAACGGGCGGCAATGTGCAGTCGGTGCTGCCGTCGCCCAAAACGCCGGTGGCGGCGCCCACCACGCTGCCGGGCCTGGATGCGAATAGCATCAATGCAGCTGTCGCGGCTGCGGTCGCCGCTGCGGCAAGCGGCGGCAATGCCACATCCTTGTCGGCATTGCTGCCGGGCATGTCGTTGAGCGCGGCAACGGCCGGCGCCAGTGCGGCAGCGGCTGTCAGTGCGGCGGCGGCGGGTCTTAATGTGCCTAACGCCGGCGGACTGGGCTCCAATGCGGGCAAGAAACGCAAGCGACACATTGCCATCGATGTGGAAACGGAGCGTGCCAAGCTGCACGCGCTGCTCAACAGCTCGTCGAGTAAGTAAAGAGTTGTAATTAAATTGCAAAGCCTTTAACTAATCCAATGACACTTTGCCCATTTCCCCGCTTACAGTGGCGCCCAAGGACTGGGAGAGTGAGATAGCCAACATGGAGGCTTTGACGGGCGCTCGCGACGGGCGACGCGGCGGCTCGAGCGCGGCTGCCACGGCGGCCGCTTTGAGCGGGATGCAACCGCCGCCCGCGCATCAGCACGCCTCGCTGTCGCGCCAATCGTCCGGACAGTTCAATAAGCCCGCTGTGCCGGCACTGAAAACGCCGCCACCATCAATGGGTGCACCCATGGATCTGTCCTCCAGGTGTGTAATCCTTGAGCGCAACTGCCATCTTAGCCCTACCACAATTTCAACTCTTTCAACTCTCTCCCACAGCAGCCTGCCCAAGATGAATATGACGGAAATGCTGAAGTCAGCCTCCAGCGCTGGCGCCATTGATCTGAGCGAGGTGCAAGACTTCTCGATGCCCTCCAAGAAGTCGAGTGTGCATGCGGCGCTTAGCTCCGCATTCCCCTCAATGGCTGGCAGCAAGAGCAAGCTAGACGACACGCTCAACAAGCTGATGAAGAAGAACAATTGCGTAAGTATTTGCTTTGGAGAGACACTTGACATGGCCTTCAAATTAATCATTGAAATCTCTGCACCACAGACCATTGAGGAGCCGGTCATAGGCAAGGAGAAGAAACGCAAGAAGCTGGATGAGATTGTGCTCGGTCTGTCGGCAGCCAAGGAGCAAAAGACCTTCCCGGATCCATCGCTGCCCTCATCAAAGAAACCACAAATACCGCCCAGTGTGTCCGTGACGCCCGCCAATCTGCAGGCGCCCAGCCAGCAGCAGTCCAATCAGAAGCCATTTACCATCACTGTCACGACAGTGCCCGGAAGTGAGTTGGAGTCTCTGCGCTTTCTTTTCTAAAAGCCAAGCCGAGGCGCTCCAATAGTCAACAACAACTAATCTTTCCCTCTCTCTTCTCTCTCTCCTCTCCTCTCCTTCTGCAGAGTCCAAGAGCGGCGGTCAGGGCAGCGGCAGCGGCGGCGCCAGCAGCTCCTCGGGCAGCGGCCTCAGCGCGCTGCAAAACATGGCCATGGGCGGTCTCTCGAGCAAGGACAGTCTCAATGCTCTGCTCGCGCAGACGATGGCCACAGATCCGCAATCGTTCCTCAAGCAACAGCAGAAGATGATGCAGTTCCTGCCGCCTTCACAGCGCAAAGCCTACGAGAACATGCTGGCCGAAATGGAGCAGGCGATGAAGCTCAGCTCAAAATACAATTCCTCCCACGACGTCAAGGTCAACAAATGGCTCTCGGACATGACCAACCCCCTGGGCGATCAGCTCAGCATTGATTATGTTGGCGCTGGCAACGCCGGCGCTGCTGGCAGCAGCAACAGTCGACGCGGCAATCGCCAGCAAAGCAGCAGCTCCAGTGCCCAGCAGGCGGCCAATGCAGCGCAACTGCAAAAGCAGCAACAGCAGCAGCAGCAACAACAGCAGCAGCAGCAACAACAGCAGCAGCAGCAACAACAACAACAACAACAACAACAGCAACAACAGCAACAGCAGCAACAACAACAACAATCCTTGGCTGGTCCGCAGGGCCTGACCGGGGAGGAGCCGGTGCCGGTGATCAACAAGCAGACGGGCAAGCGGTTGGGCGGCAACAAGGCGCCACAACTGAAGCGCCTTATGCAATGGTACGTAGCAACAAATGTCTGCGAATTGGCATAGCTAGCAGTTTATCAAAGTACAGTGATGGCTCGCTAATTGAAACATTTTGGATTCGCGGCAGATTCCTAACTGAAAAGATATACACGTATAAATCAATACGAGTATGCTATTAGGATATTACATCTTGCTAAAAATTTCAGCTGGAATAATTCTCTATAAAATTGTAAATACAAGTTTTTATTAGCGAGCGGTCACTGTACTTGAAATAAATCACGCGCAAGTGTGAAAAATAGGTGGAATCGTTTGGTAGGGAAAGATTTCATAAAGAAAATTGTATTGTTAAAATCGATACATGAATATTCAATTTAAAGTATTTGAAGTATTTCACGCGCAAATGTGAAAAAAAGGTGGAATTGTTTTGTTCGGAAAGATTTCATAAAGAAAATTGTAATGATGTGTGAACATTTTATGCAAATCTCGATGCATGAAAATTCAATTCAAAAGTATTTCACTTGCAAGTGTGGAAAATAGATGAAATCGCTGTATATGGAAAGATTTCACATGTGTATATGATATGTGTGGATTTGGTGATTTCACCCGCACAGACGGAAACTGGGTGGAAAACTCAAAATCATGCGAATAATTGGCTAAGACAAAGCGTAGTATTATTATTAGCTTGCCTACAATATAAATTAATTTCTATGCTTGTCCACAGGCTCACCGAGAATCCCAACTATGAGGTGGATCCCAAGTGGCTGGAACAGATGCAGAATCCGATGTCGGCGCCATCACCAAAGCCCAGCGCCAGCGGCATGGACAACAGCAGTGGCTACGGCGGCGGTGGCTCTAAATCGCACGGCGGACGACCCTCCTCCAATTCGAGCAACGCCTCCTCCGGCGGCCACACGCAACAGCCGAGCGCCGCACAGTCGCCGGCGGGCAATTCGAGCGGCTCGTCGAAGAAATCGTCGAGGCAATCGCAGTCGGCGGCCGCCTTGGATCAGGCGGCGTTGCAGTTCGGCTCGCTGGCTGGCCTCAATCCCAATTTGCTGGCCAATTTGCCCGGCTTGGGCGGCTTCGATCCAAAGAATCCGCTCGCCGCATTCGATCCGAAGAATCCGCTGCTGTCGATGCCGTTCGGCGGCATGCCCGGCATGGGTAATCTGCCCGGCCTGGGCAATCTGAACAACATGAATCTGTTTGCCAGCCTGGCGGGCATGGGCGGTCTGGGTAATCTGGCCGGCATGGATGCCCAGTCGCTGGCTGCGCTCATGGCTGCTGCGGGACCAACGCTCGGCGGCCTTACAGGCAGCACGAGCGCGGGCACCGGCAAGAGCCAGTCGCAGTCCAGCGCTGGCGGCAACTCCTCCAGCGCCTCCTCATCGGCGGCCAGCAAGAAGAAGCAGCAACAGAACGAAGCCGCGCAGCTGGCAGCCGCCGCTGCCGCAGTCAACAGCAGCGCAGGCGGAGGCTCGGGTGGCGGTAAGAATGCGGGCGCATCAGCATCGCAGCTGGCCGCCGGCTTTCCGTTCCTGTTCCCCAATCCCTCGCTGCTGTATCCGCCCATGGGTCTGGGCGGACTCAATCCGTATTCGCTGGGCTCCAGTGGCCTGGGCTCGGCCTACGATCAGCTGGCACAGCAATATAATCTGCTAAACGGTGTGGCCACCTCCTCGGCGGCCGTCACCGGATCGACGCAGTCGGCCAAGTCGCATCAGTCGCAGTCGAGCAAATCGAGCAATTCTCGCAACGCCGCCAACTCGGCGGCCAATTCGGCGGCCAACCTGATGAACGCCATGGCCAGCATGAGCGCCGGCACAGTGACAACGCCCTCGACCAGCTCCAGTCGCAGCCGTCAGAGCAGCAATCAGCGCAACTCGGCCGCATCGGCGACGCCCAGTGCTGCGGACATGGCACAGCTGTCGAGCCTGCTGATGCCCGGCGCCGATCCGCATTTGCTCGAATCGCTCAGCCGCATGAGCAGCATGGACCTGGCCCAGGCGACGCGTCTCATGAGCTCTCTGGGCATGCCGCCGCTGCCCACGCCGAGCAGCTCGAACAACACCAGCAGCAGCAGCTCCAGCGCTGCCAGTAAACGTGCCGCAGCTGCGGCCGCTGCCAACGAGGCGTCCGCCAAGGAGCAGCAGAAGTGGTTCGAGAGCATAGCGCGCGGCGCTCTGCCAACGGATCTGGCCGCACTGCAGGCCTTCTCACAGGGCAAAATGCCCAGCACGTCCAGCTCCGGCGGCAACAACAACAGCGGCGGCGGCGGCGGCTCATCGGCCAGCAAGAGTTCCAAGTCAGCCGCAGCTGCCGCAGCTGCAGCAGCAGCTGCTGCACAGCTGCCACAAATACCGGGCATGTCCAGTGACTTCTCGCAGGCGCTGCTTGCCGAGATGGCCGCCCAGGCGATGGCCGCTGCCGGCGGCTCATTGCCGCTCAGCGGTCCCGGTTCATTGGCCAGCCTGGCTGGCCTCACCGGCGGTGCATCATCTTCATCTGGAGGAGGTGGTGGTGGGGGCGGTGGCGGCGGGGGAAGCAGCAGCAGCAGTTCGGCTGCCAAGCGGCAGCGCGAACAGGATGCGTTCAAGCAGCAAATGGACTTTTACACCAAGTCGCTGGGCCTGGGCTCGGGCATCTCGCTGATACCCACCTCATCGGCCAGCAGCAGTAGCCTCAATGCCGCCTATGCGGCCGCCCTGGATGCGGAGCATCTGCAGCAGCAACAGCAGCAGCAGCAACAACAGCAGCAGCACAAGTCGAAGCGTGCGCGTAGCGAGATGCATCCCACGAAGGATGAGCTAGCAGCTGCCGCGCTGGCCGCCGGCTTGCCGCTCAATTTGGGCGCCAGCATCGAGAAGAGTTTGCGCGGCGTAAGCGGCTCCAGCAGCTGCTCCACGCCAGCGCCGACGCCCACGCCAGAGCAGGATAAGGTGACACTGACGCCGTTGAATGCGAGCTCCAGTGCCGCCAACAATGCGGCGATTGCCGCGAATCTGCCTTCACAGACGACCATCACGATTGCGCCGCCGATCAGCAGCGGCGCGAGCACCAGCAGCGAGCGCTCCGAGCGCAGCGAGTCGCGCATCTCCCTGACCATAACGAATGCCGCCGATGCGGCCAAGCTGCCGCCGCCCTACGAGGAGGCCGACGAGCTCATCATTCAGCCCATACTCAAGAAGCCAGCGGCTCCAGGCAGCAGTCACAGCGGCAGTGTCGAGGATCTCGATGCTAGCGGCGGCGGCGGCGGCGGCGGCGGCGGCGGCAACAATAACAACTCGGCGGCAAATCTAAGCGGCTCCAGTAGCAGCAGCTCCTCGGTTGCAGCGGCGGCGGCGGCAGCAGCAGCTGCTGCGGCCGAAGAGAATCGACGCTCTTCCAATCGCCTCAAGCGTCCACGTTCCGGCAACGAGCACGGCGGCTCCGGTGCGACGGCAGCGGAACAGCCGCCCGAGAAGCGACGTGAGCTGCGCTCCACGCGCCACACACGCCAGTCGGCAGATGCTGCCACGCTAAATCTGTCGGCGGGCAGCGAGTCCGAAGAGCGGAACGAATGAGTAAAGCGACGCGCCTAGCCAGACGACAGCGCCCCGCCGGTGGGCGCCCGAACCAGACAGGGCAACAAAAGCAACAACAACAACAACAGCAACAAAAACAATAAAAACAACAAAAAGAGCAAAAATGATAACAAAAAGAGAAACCAAAAGCAACGGAAAAAGGCCACGAAGAAGCAGAAGCAGAAGCAAAATGAGAAGAGAAAGAGCCAAACGAGTAATGCAAACGAAAACGGAAGCGGAAACGGAAACGGACGAGCAGCGGCAAAAGCTGAGACAAACGCACGCAAATTGAACTCAAGGCTAAATGTAACGAGTACGCGAACTAGTTCCAAAGCGAGAACGAGAACGAGAACTCGAACTCGAACGCGAACAAGTACGCTAACGAGAGCACGAGCGAGAAACTGTGCGAACAGGAGTAGTAGATCCCTTAAGCTTAAAGTTGTGTAAAGTATAAGTAAACCATTATATATATATTTATATATATATATATATATATAAATATTATATATATATATATATTACGCATATATATATACATATACATATAAAGCGAGTAGAAGTAGCGAGTGAGCGGTCCCGGGATGCAGCTACTGCTGCTGCGCTCCAGGCTTGATACCAGCTGGGCTTCCGTGTGGACAGCAGCGGGCGCAGATGCTGCAACAAACAGCGTCCGCTACTGTGGCACACAAATGGGGCCCGCCAGCTCACCTGGTGCGCATATGTGGCATCCTGTGGCCAATGCTGGAAACGGGAAACAGCACACAACAGCTGCAACGCCCCCTTTCATGCCTCTTCGCCGCGCACTGCTGCAACTAATGCGTTAGGCGAGGTAGGGCGGAAGGGGAAGGTGGTTGGGCAGTTTTGTTGTGTGCGTTTCGTATGATTAACGAGTATATTAAAAAAGCGCTTATAATTTAATTGTAACAGAGAGGGGGCGTGGGCAGGGGGCAGGGGTCTGCTGCTGCTGCTGCTGCTGCGCCCAAACCCACCCCCCACCCCCGAAAAACACGCAGATGAATAACGGTTTAAATTATTGCAAATTATTATTGATAACTGATAAGCAAAAACAAAAACAAATGAAAAGCAAAACAAAAAAAAAAGATTGTTTAAACAGCAAACTAACTTAAAAGCAAATTGACAAAAACACACCCACACACACACAGTCTCACTCACACACACACACACACACCTATTATGATGTATACACACACACACACACACACATATATATATATATATAGATATGTAGCATTAATTGGGTTCAATGCTGTCGTCCTTTACAAGAGTTAATCTTAATCACAAAACAAAACAAAACAAAAAACAAAACAAAAACAAAAACAAAAACAAAAACCTGTACATATTTTAGTATCTTTAATGGATCTTTAATCATCAAATCGGATCAAATCGGATCGTATCAGAATCCCAATTCATGTATTTGCACTCCATTTGTTTGATTTCATATTTATAATGATGATGTGTGTATGTGACCCAATTCCCGATCCTAACTGTGTTTTCTTCATTCACTTGGTCGTCCTGCCTATGTTATATTTGTGTACTCGGTATGTCCTATATACATATAAATATATACATATTCACATATACATACATATATATATATATATATACACACATATATATATATATATATATATATTGACGTTGTCGTCAAATCGCTTTTAATTTTATAATTTTAATTATGTAATTAGTAAAACAATTTATATTGCATAAGTTTTAATTTGTATTTTGTATGTTTTTAAAAATGAATTGAAACCAAGCAACAACAACAACAACAAAAACAACCACACGAAAACACAACAAAATTGTTTATTGACAAATCGATTATTTTTTTTAAATACAATTATATCAATATTTATGTACATGTAATTGGCGACTGGCCCGTTTATATGTATTACATTTCAATTATATAAATTGAATGGAAATACGATTTTGTTTGCACTGCGATCCATTAAACTACAGCTAAAAATAAACAATATTAACGAAAGAAAGAAAACAAGAAAAAAACAGTTGCACCAACAGACAAGAGCAAATAACAATTTAAATTAGAGATGCTAAGTATAAATCTTAATTAAAGTATGATAATTACAACACAACTACAGCAACAACAACAAGATAAATATATGAAAAATAAATTTCCAAAATTACAACAAAATATCGATTTTTAATCTCCTTTGAATGCAGATCGGTGCGGTGGGTTCCTGCGATTCTGGCGTAGCAAGTCCTTTGAAAATTGGCAAGGATAAAGCCGAGTTATGGCTGTTTTTCTAAAAAGGATACGAACACAAAATCGACCATAACGTGGACATTTCAAGTACTATCCTGATGTCCTTTGGTCAACAGATAGTCCTTGTCCAGCCAATTTAGAATACGCAATGAAAAGGACGAACGTCCTTCAAGGAGCCAAGATATAGGGAAGTCTTTTGTGTACAGAAAAAATACGATTATTCGTCCGTGTCCTTGCGGATCCTAACGGGTCCTGTGTCAAACAATTCCTGTGGCACAGAGCTATCATCTGGCCAAAGGACATCAAAATCGTCCTTGTAGTTTCAGAGATATGGCTAATTTTCTAAAAAGGACATTCTTTTTTTAGCCATATCTTGGCCATATCCTTAAGGATATCGGCAGGATATACATTTTTGAACTCGTGAGAGTCAGGACTATCGATTGGCATTCAAGGATTTCAAGGATTCCACCAAAAATTTTCCTTAATTTTTTCCTAGGGGGTAGGTCGCAAAATTGGCCAAAATCGAAAAAATCCGGACTAACTTGGCCATTTGAAGGACTATCGGGATGTCCTTTGGCCAGTAGATACTCCTCGCCCCCCCAATGAAGAATATACCATCCAAAGGACGATGGTCCTTCAAACAACGAAGTTTTAAGGACATTTTTGTGAACATAAAATAGGCTATATCTCGGCTGTATCCTTGCGTATCCTGACGAATCCTGTGTCAAAAAAATTGTATGGACCAGGGCTATCATCTGGCCAAAGGGCATCAAAATCGTCCTTGTAGTTTCAGAGATATCAAGGATTTTGTGTTTTAGGCTTGTTTTCCTTGCCGGCCGCGACGAAAATTTGTCAAGTCCTGCATTCTTAGATGACCCCATAATGTTTTGATGCAGATCGATGAAGTTGGTCCTTACGATCCTAACGCACCAGGTCCTTTGAAAATCTGCAAGGATATGGCCGAGTTATGGCCATTTTTCGAAAATTTTATGCATCACAAAATCGGCTATAACTTGGCCATTTCAAGGACTATCCTGATATCCTTTGAGCTGCAGACATTCCTTGTCGAGCCGATTCAGAATATGTAATGAAAAGGACGAAAATCCTTAAGGGAGCCAATGACAAAAGGACATTTTTTGCTACAAAAATAGCTCATAATTCGCCCATATCCTTGCAAATCCTGACGAGTCCTGTGCCAGAAAAATTTTATGGGCCAGGAGTATCAACTGGCCAAAGGACATTAAAATCCTCCTTGTAGTTTCCGAGATATTCAAGATTTTCTTATTTTCTCATATAAGTGCTTGCTTGTGCGCATTTAATATTTAAACATTAACGGTCGCTAGCTTCCGCAACACTGGGCCACTTGGCTGGCTCGATTTGAGCAAAAATCCAGCTGAAGTACCAGGCGAACAGAAATGCCCAGCAGGTCGACAAAAATTTCCGAATAAAAATTTTCGTTGCATACCCGCACGGGGCAAAAATGTTAAGTTGCTGGTGACTTGCAATTTTCTTAACAGACGACTGTTAGGCAACAGTTACAGAGCATGTTAAAGGGCCGCTGTAAAGACGGCCGTTAAACTTATTTAAAATGGGTGCTGAAAGAAAAAGCATGCATGTTTGTGGACCATTTCAATGCAAATTTGCATGAAATCGGACCTCTAGGTTCACCAGGACTGTATCTTTGGTATGGTATAACCAAGGATACGGAGGTCAACTAGAAACCATCGAAGAGGCAGTGCATCTTGCTGGAATAAACATACAAAAATTTATTTTTCCGGTTGTTTTTGTTTTTACTACGCAATTCATAGATATATGCATGTATATTCACAGTAATTGAGTTTAACTTAACTAGAGGCAATAAAAGCTGCTTTTAGCAATGCGATAAATCAAAATTTTGGTAGATAAATTGACGTCTAACTCTAATTTCGCTGCAAAAATATCGTTGAATACGTTGTTTCACTTGTTGAGGACCGATCGCTTATGCCAATTGTAGGGTTGGGTTTGGAAAAGAACTTACAATAAATACAAAAACGTACAAACATGTATAATATACAATGTATAAATCTGTGCATTAGCATTTAAAGCACTTCAACAGCGAAGCCCCCCGCGCCGAAAGGGGCTCCACCTCGACACGATAGTAAACTTTGAGTCTTAAAGGCTATAGAGCTAAATAGTTTGCGCATGTTTATGCCCTCGGCTTGGTATGGTTTTGGCTTTGCCCCTGGCTCAAACTATATGTGCTGCATGAACAGGGATCGCTCGAATGCCTCCTCGAGCAGTTCCTGATTGCGCCGCTTCTCCTCCGGCGTCAGCTCGCGCAGCTCATCAAAGCCATCATCCGAATAGGCATTTTCCTCGTCCTCTCGTTCCTCGCCAGCAGCCAGGGGCAGCAATGGCTCACCAATGATGTGGCGTATATCATTGGGCAACGCCTCAGATGCCTTCAGCTGTAGGTAGATGGCCTCGGCTGTTTCCAGAGTGCGTTTCAAATCGATGTTGCCGGTTAGTTCGTTGACATGTTTTAGGATTTCGGTGAATTCGTATTTTCTATCAATAATCACGTTCGTCTCCTGGTCCAGTATGGCCACCGAAACGAGCAGATGAAAGTTGGCACAAGGTAAACGCGTCCACAGGCACTCCCAGAGCTTGAGCACATCGTCGTTGTTCAGCTCCCGCTTGTACCAAACGAGCAGCCAGCGGAAACAGAAGTACATGTTGTCCGATTCATGGCTGCACATGTATTTGAAGAGCGGCGCATTAGCCACCTCCAGGAGACGACGCAGTTGCGCAAACTGCGTCTTCATGCCAGCCTGATCCATGTCAAAGTTGCTGAACACCATGTCCATGAAGCCGACAAAACACCAAAACGCATCCACCTCATTAACCTGAATCTCCAGTATGGGTGCCAAAAGATCGGACATGCCCTGGACGTAGCCCAGATCAAAATTGTACATAACATAGGTCATGAGTATGCCTTGCAAGAGCATCAGATTTGGATTATCCTCGCCGGCGAAAAACTGTTGCGAGCGGTCCGTGCGCTTGACATCCTTCTCAATTTGGCACTTGCGATCCCGATAGCCGCTAAAGTTTGCCTCCTGGGCGGTGGTCATGGCCAGCCATTGTGCCTTCATTTTATAGTATTCTTTTGTCTTTTGGCTGCGCCGCTCGATGCGCTCCAGTTCCGAGTCGGACCATTCATAGTAGTTTAATAAATATTTCCAGACCTCTGCGCGCAGACTGGGCACAATGCCACCGCGAAAGATGAGCTCTTTGATACGTAAGCTATCCGAGATGCGACCGTCGCGCGTCTTAAATTCCAACCACTGCGCCTCGTTGAGCGGTTGGCCTGGAACAACAAATGTGGATGATGAATAAGATGCAACTGATAGAAACTCGCGAATACTTACCACGTTGCACGCTCTGGCGTGCTGGCAGATTGTTGACTATTTTCTCATCCTGGGCATTCAGGTTCTCCAGTTCACTATCCGCTGGCGATTTGTCGGCACTCTCACCGCGACTCTGGCTGTTCGAGGAGCAGGCGCTGTTCGTGCTGCCGCTTAGCTTGATAAACTGATAGTTGTCCGGTGAGTTCTGACGATCGCCGTGCACCAGTGAACCGGGACGCGATTTGGGCGACCGCTGAAACGACGGCTGCACATAGTCCGGTATGTTGCCAAGGAAGCCAGCCAATTTATTGGGCAGCCAGCTTTCTCTGGGCAATTGGCTAGCCTTGATTTCGCCAATATCCAGTTCGGCGAATGTCTTTTTCAGCTTCTGGTTTTCCGTGTTCAATATGGCATACACCTCGCCGCCGCTGCGACCCGCTTCCGAGCTCTCAATGAAATGCTGCTGACGCATGAATCGCACAAATAGATCCGCGTTGCCGTGCTGAAAGAAGAACTCGCAGTGCACACCGTTATCCGATTTGCGCAGGAATCGTAATGTCTGGCCACGGTGCTGCACCTCAACGGCAGCCAAATCCTCCAATAAGGCGCGCACAATTCGAGCACGAGCTGGCGCCACATTCCCATTGCTGCCCAGCTCTGCGGGCTTTGTATTGAAGGCGCTGCACTCGGATCTGGTGCGTGTGCGACCCGATATTGTATCCACCAGCGCCCAATCGCCCTGATCCTGGCTATCGTCGGCTATCATAATGTTATCATTAAGATGCCACTCCACGTAGACGCGACGACGCGGCAGGCTGTACTCGACCAGGGAGAGGGAGCCGCTGGTATTCAATTCAGCAATATGTTCCGCATTGGCCTTCTTCAAGAGCACGCCGTCGTGTGTGCACAGCTCCTGCAAAAGCACAATAAAACAATTTAAATGGGTCCACAGCAATATGAGTCAGTTTGCATTGAACAAAGACTTTGGCAGCGACGTTCAACTTACGTTACCATTTCCCTGGGGTGCATCCGATTCGGATGCGCCGATGCCCTCTTGGGATTCGCTTAGCACGCCCAGCATTGGCTGGCAGCGCTCATAGCGCACCGAATCGTTCATAGCGGCCAGCCGTTTGGATATTTCCACAATGGACCAATAAAAATTTTCAGCAAATTATTACGTTCTAGATATAAACAATTAGATTTAACTGAAATTTTGTGTGTACACACTGCAAATGCAAGGCTGCCCACTCATGTTCAGCTGCGGTATTTTTTAATGCATTTCAACTGTTTGGTATTTTTGTCAACTCGCTGGCAGCCCTGGCCAACTGGGACATTTTTATGAATGCAAGGCTGAAAAAAAACGTTAGCTTTGGGACTAATTTAAATGTATTTAAAAGATATTTGCATTTGTTGAGTCAAATTAGTGTAATTACTAACTTAAAATAAGTTTAAATAAAGCAACGTGCAGTTGAACTCCTTTAATTATTTTCTTTTAATTATTTAGTTGTGTTCCTTCATTAAATTAACGCGGCTGACAATTTGTGTTGTCCATATATAAAATGATTTGGAAATAACTTGCAACAGAATTTAAATTTAATCACATCATGGCCACCGAGCAACCAATTGATCGAGAGCGAAAGTATTATTCTGTGCACTCTACACACGTGGGCCATATGACACTTAATCAATCGTTAATGAACGCCAAATTTTTTGGCTTGAGGTAGCGTATGCCGGAACAGAGACGTTCGGTGTTTCTGTGAAAATAGGCATTATATGTGTGTGTACCACATATTTTTCTCGAGTTTTGTAAATAGATTAAAAGTGCCCCATTCGTGTGTGATAAGTGCAAGTTTTCGTTTTTCCGAATCTTAAACGCAGGCGCCCGAATCTAAAATTCTTGCGAGCATTCGAAAACATTTTTCTGGCCGTTTTTTGAACAACTTTGAACGAACGCTCAGTTTCCAATCTGCGAGTACGACGTTCAGAGCGTGTCGGCACATCGTGTCGTTCCTTAAAAAAAGGCCAAACATTCGAATACAACTGAAATTGAATATTTACAGGTGGGTGAATTTTCCATGATGCCGTGCACAGTTTTCGACCCACTGTGCCCTAGGTCATCTACAAGTGCAGCGATACGCAAATTTAAATTGCCGTTCAGGACAAATAGTGAAAACAGTTAACTGAAAAAAAAAAAACACAAGACTATTGTTCTCTTGGGCTTATATAATACCTGAAGGTGTCAACAATAAGTACATCGAAGTAATCAATAGGTAAAGCTGCACAAACTAGATGCGCGTACTTGAAAATTAGCTGAGAAACGTAAACAGATTTTGTAGTTTTTCTTTTTCTTTCTCATAAAACAGATTCATATATGATATACAGTTGTACATATATTTATATATATATATATATATATATATATATATTGGAAAAAACATGGCCACCGAGTTTTATCAATGAAATTTAGCGACAAAATAATGTCGAGAAATACAAGGTATTGTGTCCTGAGAAATCAAATCGAAAACGAATCGGTTCTTGATTCGCATGCCAACTATTTAGACGACATTTGGGTAATACGCCCTTTTGTAGAGATCTCTCTCATTTGATCGTGTGATGATATCTAACGCCAGCTCTCCCACACATTGCCTCTCAATCGTGCTCGAATATTTCTCAGTGTATATACATATAGACACACATGTGTGTGCGTGTGTGTGTGTCAAATCGTGTTTTTCATTTATCGGGTAAAAACAACGGCCAAAAAACATGAAAACTGTATTCAGCATTCGTGGACAGAAATAGCGCCACCCACCCAACAGAAAACAGAAAAAGTTTTGAAACTGAATTTGCCTTACAGCGTATTTGGTCGATTGGCTTAATTATGGATGAGCAATCACCTGGGCGGGGATTGCACATGTTTGAGAATTTCATTTAAAATATCTAGTTTCTATTGCAGTTCGCTGTCATGGAAAAATCGTGTCGCCCCAAACGCAATCGTCGGCACAGCAGGTGAGTGGGGCAGCAAAACAATAAAAGGAAATTCTATTGTCGCTAATGTCCAAGAGTTGGTTTACAGACGCGCCTGGCCACCAGAGGATGATCTGCATCTGACTCGCGCTACGAAGCGTCTGTTTACGCCCGACATAAAACGAATGCTGAAGGATTGGCTTATACGACGACGCGAGAACCCGTATCCCAGCAGAGAGGAGAAGAAGCAGCTGGCCGGAGAGACGGGCTTGACGTATACACAGATCTGCAATTGGTTTGCCAATTGGCGGCGCAAGTTAAAAAACTCGGAGCGAGAGAAGGCCAAGAAGTCGTGGGGGCATCTGATCAAGAATTACAATCACAATGCAAGAGGCAATGTGGAACAGTTTAGCATCTCGTCCGAGGACAGCATTTGGGAGGAGGACATGCGCGTGTGCGCAGCCGAAGACGATGAGGATGGTGAAGATGACGACGAGCTGTCCAGTCGCAGCACGGCCAGCGATGGCATTGACAACAATGCCTCCACCTGCTCGGCGCCATATAAGCCCAACTTTTATGTGGAATCCGAGCTGCTGCCGGACCAGGCGCAAGGTGAACGCGTGCCCATGTTGCCCACCGTGCCGGCTGGCAAGGCCAAGTACAAGCAGCAGATGATGGAGAAGTATCTGCGCGACAGCAATGTACTGGATGCCAGCATGCCGGCGAACACAAGCGACAACAATGGCACCCAGCTGAACAAGTGGCTGGAGAGCGCCGCCAGATTCACGCCGGATAGGCACAACTATCACATTGAGTGGAATATGAGCAGGTGAGCCCAGGTGCAGTGAATCAATTGTTGCTATGCTAAACTGTAGATTTTTCCCAGGCACAAATGCGCCAGTCAGGAGCGGCCAGTGCAGAGCGAGGTGCTGTTCACCAGCGATGCCACCGCTGCGGCACGTGGCGAGCGTTGGCTGCTCCATCACAAGGACGAGCTGGATGCTGCCGAAGCGCTTGCGAATTTAGCCTTTAACTGCAGGCAGCGCTGGCATCACATGGCAACCACAATTACCTCCTAGACGGGACGCCACTGACGCCATCATTCCAGGCCGTTGGAAGAGTGCAATCTAGTTTTAAGCCGTAATCTATAGTATGCAAGACAAATGACAATTATTTTTTCGCTGTTATTGTTATTAACAAATTATAACTTATGACTGCGTTTCGTTCGTCGGCTCCGTTGCCGCATCGCTTTTGGCGTGCACGTCCAGCACCTTGACCAGATTGCACTGATGCGCCTGCAGCTGCTGCACCACATTGCCGGCCGCCATATTTAGCGTTTGCACCAGCTGAGCCTGTGCCACCTGCAGACCTGGCATCTGCGCGAAGTCCATCAGCTCGTTGCGGCTAAGCAGGGTGTTCTCCACAATGCCGCCCAGCAGCACCATTTGCGGAACTTTGCGCGTGAGGCGCAACAGCGCGGCCACACGATGCTGATCCGGCGAGAACACAATGCAATGATTAGAGTGGAACAGCGGCATAATGGCCTCGTATTGTGTGCCGGCAACTGCCTGGGCAATGATCTTGCGGCCGTAGGATTTTAGGTGCATGTTCTGCTTGTGCAACTGGACGCGCACACGAAAGAGCTCGTCTGCCATTATTGAGTTCAAATGGAAGATGGCCACCAGCTTGGAATGATCCAACCAGTTGCGCACCTCGCGCGCTATAATCGCATTGTAGGGATTCTCCACCTGGGTACCCAGACGTTCTGCCCGCGACTGAAAGCAGGTCAGAGCCTTCGGCGGCTCCGGATATTTGGGCTGTGTGACGGCCACAACACGTGCCCGTTCATAGTGCGGCTCCTTGGGGCGTTGTATGTTTATTTTGCCGCGAAAGCGCACAAATTGCACCAGTGGCGCACGAGCCGATGCGAGTGGCAGGCCTGCAATGGGCAGCAGCAGCGGCAGCGCATAAATAAATGAATTGTATAATCACACAGCTGTTGCTGCGGGCCAAAGAATGGTATCCAACGTGTAGCACGTGCGCTTACCTTGTTTTATCAGATTGGACATGTCTACAGTCAGCTCGGCTGGTAAATATAACTATTTTTATACACTATTCTATAATTATTAACAAATTAAACGCTTAAATAAAAAAAACCGTATGCAAGTCGCCGCGTTGCTTATTTCGATAGTAAATTACTTGTATATCGATAACATCAAATGTGAACAAGTCAGCTGTTGCAGTTTAGCATTACGCTGTTAATAACAGAAAAGCCAACGTTACACAAAATGTTAATCACACTGTTAAAATGTAGTATTTAATACCCACAAAATCCACAATCTGTTTTGACGATTTGGTAGTGATTCCTGATAAATGCTTAACAATAATAGACTATTTTGTAATATACTAATTGATTATTAAAAGAATGATTGTCTCCACAAAAGCCTTTTAAGGATTTTGAATAGATGCCATTCAAATATCAATACAACTTTCATACATAATGCATAGGTATAGAATTTATTTAATTACAGGTATAACATTAACATCTATATATATGTATCTATATATATATATATATATATATATATATATATATATATATATATATATATATATATATTTATGGGTTTTGTGTTCTTTTCATATATATACTATAAGTTGCATTTCGCTAATGGGTTTTTGTGGGCTGATAACGGTCTATCGAACAACCAACAACTATTGTGAACGAAAGGGTTGGACGTGGAGCAATGGTAAAGTTGAAAAATAATTAAAACAAATCGTTTAACAGAAAAAGTTTATTGAATTGGTTTATTAATTCACTTAGAAATAAGTGTAATTTAATCGGTTTCTTCATCAATTAACTTAAAAATAACTAAAAATGTCTTAAAACAATAGCGTTTCATCTGTTCTTGTTGTGTTTACTGACAAAATGTTTTTCTTTTTTGCGATTTACTTCTGATCTCTCTCATAATCGTATCTTTATCGTGTTATATAATGTACAGTTTAGTTTTAAAACATACAACTAAATACGCGCTAAACACTAATTAAACTGTATTTACATGTACATGAATTATCGTTTAGACGCTAAATAATTTAAATATTTTACAGTTTTGCTTTTTTCTTTCTCTTTTGTTTTTCGTCACATAATTTACAAGTGGGCGTGAAAACGTTTAAGTTTAAGGAGTGTACAGAGGGTTTTTATCATCTTCCTTTTCCATATATAATGTATATTGTGTATTGGGCGTCTGTATATGTGTTCTTTTATAGTCAGCTTCGGGCTTAAAATATATGCTTGTGTTTGTGTATGTTATGTGTGTGTGTTTATAATTGTATGTGTAAATACGCTCTAATGCTACTGCCTGGCAATTTACAAAGTTTCGCGCAAAAGAACTAAACATTGAAATGATAACAAATGGAAACACCCAACTTTGCTTGAATTAGTTTCGTGTACAGTGTTGTGGCAGTGATGGTGGAGTTGGTGTTGTTGTTGTTGTAGTTGTTGTAGTTGCTGTAACTGTTGTTGCGATTTTCAAGCAAATCAGGTGGAAAAGCTAACAGTGAATAATCGGCACAAAGGCAACCACAAAAATGCCAACAGCGCGGCGGCGCCTGCGTTGAGTGCATTTTTGTCGTCGGCTTGCGCCCTCTACAGGGAAATATATAAGCAACAAATTGATAAACTTGTCTCTAAACTTTAAAATATTTGGCTTAACATATTTGTTTATAATAATTAAATAGATATTTAATAATTGTAATTTATATGTAGGTGTGTGTATAAAATGTATGTTTATGTGCTTGTATATTTGTGTGTCTGTGTGTGTGTGTGTATCTATTTTAATGTTTGTAATTGTAGGAAAAAAGCCTCTGGGCGCATCTTTAAACCTAATTGTGCTTAACAGCAGTTGGCGACAGGTGGCGCTCATGGCGTTCTTCGGGTCAATGCGACACGGGCGGTTCACACGCGCACCACATGGAGCCGAGGAACAAATTGAAAACAAAAAAATTAAGAATATAAATAGAAACGAAATGCTAGAGCAAAATCAATAAACTACTTAATTAAGGGCGACGAAACTTTGTAAAATGCGAGCAATAACTGGGCGTGCGTATGTGTGTGTGTTTGTGTGTGGGTGAGCATGTGAAATAGTTCACCAATCAAAAACTTAAACGTGTGTTGTTGTTATTGCTGTTTCATATTTTCTTTTCGAATAGGGATAGTAGGTATATATGTTTGTATGTATGTATGTATGGTAGTAAGTAGTATGTAGTACAGTAAACAGTTAGGTTTTCTTTTTTAAGCATTTGTTGTTTTTTTTTTGTTTTGTTGTTTCACATTTCCTTTTCGTTTTGTTTTCATTTCATTTTCATTTTAAATTATAAGCAAAAAAAATAAAAACTTTCTTGAGATCAAACTTAACGATACTTTGCAAGCTTTCAAAAATGTTGTTAAAAATTATTATGTATTATATGTTTATGAAAAGAAAAGAAACGAAAATTTGGACAAACATATTTTTGCAATTTTAGTTTTTTTCCTTCTGCTTTTTGCTTTGTTTACGTTTTACACAATGTTTATTATGTTGCAGGATTTGCGGGGGGAGGCTGTTTAAGAGGGTTGTTTTACGGATTTACATTGGTTTCTTTTAGTTGCCATCAATCGATTTCGATTGTTTTATGAGCTTGGCCTCAACTCTCTCTCTTTCTCTTGCAATTATTTATTTCAATAAAGTTTGCATTTTTTCTCTTTACTTTTTGTTTTTGTTTTTTTTTTTTTGTTTTTGTTTAGTTTTGCTTCTTTAAACTTTTGTGTTTTGTTTAAACGCTATTTAAAATTACTTAAAATACTAGAAGAGCGTAACTTGTTTTAGCTTTGTTGTAGTTGGTAGTTGTTGTTGTTTTTGTATTATTGATTGGTTTTTTGTTTACTTTACATGTGTTATTTGTTTCAGTTGTTCTTGATGTTCTTGTTGTGGTTGTTCTTGCAGTTTTTTCTTTTTTTTTATAGAGGAGACATAGTCGGTGTTTTTTTAATTTTCATATCTGTGTGTTTTTTAATGTAGATCTGGTTAAAGCCAACCGACTGCGATTCGATTAGACGGTAGCAATGACAATCAATAGGTGTGCCAGCTCGGCAACACGGTTCTTGAGATCGGGCGCAGCACGCTCCAGATTCTCATTGGCGAAATCGCATGCGGGAAATATGTGGACCACATACGCAGCCTGATCGCTGCCCGGCATGGGTATATTCACAATGCCCGCGGCCATCTTCTGCTGCAGATAGGTTATGAAACCGGTCTGCAGATTACGCGAATGCTGCAGCACGTCCGCATGATCGCGTCCACATGGCAGCGCCAGCAGCATGCAGTGCTCCTTGTCCACCTGCATATAGCAACAATACGTAATTAGTTTATAAAGTTTAATCGACATGGACAATAAATTTACGCACCTGCATCTTTTTTGCAACACCCTCCAGCTGCGTCTGCTCGAGACGCATGCGCTGCGCAATTCGCAGTTGTGGTGTGGCGCTCTCCACCATGCTGGGCAGCGAGGCGCGCGCCACATTTGGATTGCCATGCACAAAGTGCATCTGAACGGCCGCCTGATCGGTCTTCAGTGCCAACAGACCCTGCCACATGACCGGATAGCGTTGCAGCAATGTGACTAGCGAGTCACCTGGCGGTGGTGGCATTGCGGCGGGTGGTGGTGGCCCCGGCTGGGGCTGCGGCTGCTGTGCGGTCAGCTCCATGCCGCCATGCATTACAGACGCGCTCAAATGCTCCTGCTGTTGCTTGGCTGTAAATTGATATGTGTGAGTCCCAATTGCTACAAGTTGTCTGGCATTTATATACGCACCAACTGCTGCTACTATGGATAGCCGTTCGTTCTCACGTTCACGCTCCAAAAGCTTGGCCTGGCTGGGATGTAAACTATGCGGTCCCGGCTGTACAGATACAGACACTGAAGCGCCGCCGCTGATGTACGGACTGCCGCTGGCAACTGTCGGCGGTGGTGGCACCACAACACTTATGGAAGCTGCCGCACGGTGCGCCGGCGGGGGCTCCAGCTGCATGCCGGCACTCTCATAGTAGCCGCCACGTGTGGCCATCTCGCTGAAGTGAGCGTGCGGTATGCGCGCATTGTGCACATATACCTGAGCCATCTGCGGCGAGTCTATAAATTGATAGAATGGGTAATTGATTAAGCTGGGATCTTAGGTTTATCTGGAGCTCAATATGCTCTTACCCGCTGCAGTGCGATCCTGTGGACTCTGCAGGCTATGCGGCACGGAAATGGTGCGCGGCGGTCCACTGCCCGGACGACGCAGCTCCAATGGCGGACTGCTGCTAATCATCTTGTCGTCATAGTCACCGCTGCGCATCATGTGGTGTTGATAGAGCATTGCGGCCCGATACGCGGTATCATTCTGCAAGTGAAATGAGGATACGAGATTAGAGGATATCTTTAAGGCAGGCAGTATATTAAATGATGTTAGTTGTTTGGTGGGGGTGGTTCTTGGGTTACGCTACTTCAAAGTTCCGCATGTAAAACTTGTGCATTACCGGTGTTATGGGCGATGCCTGCTGATGCGCTGGCGGCGGGCTCTGTGTACGCCGTCCGCTGACATAGGCGCCCAAGTCATGCTGCGTCCATTTGGCAAGGCAAAGGTGTTATTAAGTTAAGCAAGTAAAATGTTAGCTTGGACAAGAGCTTAGCAAGAGCACAACAGCTGCATGCTAGTGTTATTATACGGGGCAAGGACTTACCATGCTGGCATCGAAGGGCGGCACGCCGGCCATGCCTGGCGGCAGAACCAGCGGCGAGACGCGCGGCTGTCCCTGTGGACTGATGTTCGGTATGGCGGTGCGCAGAACTGCAAACGAATTAGGTTTTAATTAGGATTAGCCAACAGTTGTCCAGGCATTGGAACTTACCTGCAGCTGTATTGGCTTGCTGCTGTTGTCCTGGTTTCATTGGCGGCGGACTGCCAATGCTGCCGGGCAACAATTGACCTACCGCCTGCAGACTGTGCACCACAGGATTGGGCTTGCCCGGCGGCGGCGACGGTGTCAACTGATGTTGCTGCGGCTGCAAATGAGCCGCTGGCTTTGGCTGCAACAACAGCGCCGAGTGTGCGGGCAACAAGAGATTATGCGGCGGCAACTGCACCGGCTGTGCGCTCTTCTGCTGCACGGCCTGTTTGTACAGCTGTTGGGGTTGCTGTTGTTGTTGTTGTTGCTGTGGTGTTTGTTGTACATAGCCAAAGTTCTGTTTGCTCAGTTGCTGCGGCGGTTGTTGTTGTTGTTGCTGCTGCTGCGTTGGCAATACCGAAGCCTTTGAGCTAACCACATGCAGTATTTGCGGATGCGCTGTTGGCGCTGCGGCTGTTGCCTGCTTGATGACCAGCGTCTGCTGCTGTTGCTGCTGCAGTTGTGGCGCATTCGGTGGCTGTTGCTGCTGCTGTTGCTGGCCGTGCTGTGCGGCTGTGATGCGCGGCGAGTGCGGCGAATGCGCTGTTGGCGGTGGTATATTGACCAGCAGATGCTGCTGTTGTTGGGGCTGCTGCTGTTGGCCCAGCATATGGCGCGCTATGATATTTGGCTGCAGGAGCTGTTGATTGCCGGCAGCATCAGTGAGCAGCATGTGGCCCGGATGTGGCGGCTGTTGATGCTGTTTGTTAGGCGTCAACTGTTGCTGTTGTTGTTGCTGCTGCTGCTGCTGCTGCTGCAGGTTCTTCTCGCGATTCAGCACATGCGCTTTGAGCGGCTGCGGCGGACGCACCGTTGTGTGCTGTGCATGTTGTAGCACAGTTGTCAGCACCAGTGGCTGTTTGTTGGCCAAAACATGTTGTTGTTGTTGTTGCTGTTGTTGCTGTTGTTGCTGTTGCTGCGGTGGCGCCTGTTGCAGCTGTTGTTGTTGTTGTTGTTGCTGCTGTATGATAAGCGTCGGCTGCGCGGGCGTCGCATTGCCCTTAACCAGCACGCTGACAGGCTTGTTAAGCAACGTTGCCGCCGCCTCTTGCACCTGTAGCTGCACGGGTTTGCTGAGCGTTGTTATGGGCGTGGCAGGTGCTATGACCGTGGCGCTGATTTGCAGTTGTTGCTGCTGTTGTTGCTGCTGCTGCTGCTGCTGCTGCTGCTGCAGTGGCACCGTTTCATTGCTGCTGTTGGCGGGCGCCGCCGCATTCGCAGCCGGCAAATTGCCCTCCTTGCCCTGCGGCATGCCCGCAGTAATGACACCCGTAACGGGATCAATTAAAGCCTTGCTAACTGCATCCGCGGCACCACCTGTGATCTTCTGAGTGGCCGCAGGTGCGGCTGTCTGATGCATGGGCGGCATGGATGAGTTGATGGCCTGATAGGATTCGATTTCGGCTGCGGCAATCGCCTTCTTCTTGGGATGCTGTGGCGTTGGTTTGGACAGAACAACAGGCGCCACTTGCAATGGCTCTGCTGGTGGCGTTGTTGTTGTCGGCGGCGGCGGGAGCGGTGGCGTTTCCTTGACCTCCGGTACATGCACAATGTGCGTCGTTGGCGGCTGTTGTTGTGGCTGTTGTTGTGGCTGTTGTTGTGGTTGCTGCTGCTGCTGCATTGTTGCTGGCGTCTCAACCACAGCAGCAGCTGTAGGCACCGCTGCTGCAGCAGGTGGCGGCAGCAATAGTGGCTGCGTCTCCTCCTGCACTCCAGCTGGCGGCTCACAAATAGTCTTGCGTTCCTTGGAACGCCTCGGCCTGCCCACGGCATTGGGCGTTTGTGCCGCATCCGTTTTCTTGGCCTGCGCATTGCGACCGGAACGTCGCGGCGGCGTTTGTGCGCCCTTCGGCAGCTGTTGCTGTTGCTGTTGTTGCAATTGTTGCTGCAGCTGCTGCTGCTGTTGTTGTGTGTTTGTATTGCGCACAACATCTTCGATAATGTCGTCCACGGTGCTGCGATCCTCCTTCTCTTGCAGACGCCGCGACTTGCGTGTGTTGCAAGACTCCGAGCTGTCCGTGTTGTGCTCCAGCTGCTGCTGTGTTTGCTGCTGCTGTTGTTGCTGCTGAGCTTGCTGCTGTTGTTGTTGTTGCTGCTGCTGCTGCTGCGTTTGCACATGTGGCACCTCGGCTTGGCTCTCCAGTTCGCTGCTGTTCTTAAGCTTGTTGATTGTTAGAATCAGCCGCGGTCTCGTGTCATCTGCGGCAGCTGCTGCTGCTGTGTTTGTAACTGCAGTTAACTTGACCTTTGGCTCCGTATCGCCCACATCGTCATGGAACTCGTAAATATCCTGACTGGAGCCGCTCGCTTGTGTCAACGCTTGATTCCGTGCCTTCTTTTCAGCGGCTGTTGGCACAGGCACGGGCACAACTGCGGGCGTGGGCGTGACAATCTCCTTCTGCTGATGCTGCTGTTGTTGTTGCTGCTGCTGCTGCTGTGCTAGCTGTTGTTGTGCCAGCTGTTGCTGTTGTAGCTGCTGTTGCTGCTGCAGCAAGTTACGCGGCGGTCTGCCTTTGCGGCCACGCGTCACTGGCGCCGTGGCCGGCTTGCGCAGCCGTGTGTGCACACCATTGTCACCCGGTGAAAGCAACAGGCTTGGCTCGGTGGGATTCAGCGGCAGTCCGGCAACCTGCTTGGCCTTGGCTCCGCGTGGCTGACGTCCACGTTTGGCGCCTGTACCACGTGCGCTGGGCGGTCGGCCGAGCTGCTTCAAGGACTTAATGTTCAGCTGACGCGTCTCGGTTTCATCCTCGGTGTCGTGATCATTAGAGCTGGCATTGGCCAAAGCGCTGGCAGCAACTGTTACTGATGCTGATGCTGCTGCTGCTGCAGATGGTGGCTCACTGACCAAGGCTGGCGTTGCCTCTGTCGTGGGCACATCAATTGCTGGCTGCTGTTGTGTAGCCGTTCGCTTATTTTGGTTATCCTCCTTCGAAGCGGCTGCCGTGGACGGATCGAGCTTCTTGATGACACTGTCAATGTTCACCTCCTTGGCGGACCAATAATCGCTGTCCACCTCCTTCGAGTCCTGCTCGATAAGCTCATCCTGTTTGGGCTGTGAGATCTTGATGACATTCTCCTCGGTTAACATTGAAGCGGCTGCGGCGGCGGCAGCAGCGGCTGCCTTTGTCGCCTGCGGTGAGCTGGCCAGGCTGATAGTGGGCGTGGGCGTGCGTATAACAGAAACGCTCTCGGATGTCTTTAGCGGCAACACTGGCGACTCCACCACAGTCGTCGTGTCCTTGGGCGGCGGCGGATAGTGTATAGATGTGGTCGGTGCCGGCACAATTTGCTGTTGCACAATGATTTTCTGTGCTGACGGTGCGTTCTGTATAACATTAAGCGATTGTTGCTGTTGCTGTGGTGTTGGTGCTCGCACCATAATTGCAGCGGGATGCGGCTGCTGTTGCTGCTGCGGTTGTTGTTGCTGCTGTGCCTGTGGACTGTGCGAGCTGTGTGCACTCGGATTGAGGCCTGTTGGGCTCACTTGTTGTTGCTGTTGCAAATTGCGTGGCAGTTGCTGGTGTTGTTGCTGCTGCTGTGCAAACATGGGCGGCGGCGGCGTCAAGTGCGTTAACGGCTGTTGCTGCTGTGCCGTATGCAATTGCTGCTGTAGCTTATGCATATGCAACTGCTGCTGCTGCTGTTGCATTTGCTGCTGTTGGGCTTGATGTTGCAGCTGGTGTTGATGCTGCTGCGCTTGATATTGCTGCTGCCGTGCCTGATGCTGCTGTTGCTGCTGCGTGGCATGTACGTGATGATGACCCGGCGACAAGGGTGGATGCTGCATTTGCTGCTGCATATGCTGCTGTTGTTGCTGTTGTTGTTGCTGTTGCTGTTGTTGATGTTGTTGTTGCAGCTGTTGATGCTGCTGTGGCACATGTTGTTGTCGCTGCGGCTTGCGTTCCAGCATTTGCTGATGCATGTACTTGTGCACCTGTTGCTGCTGCTGCTGCTGTTGCTGATGCGCGTTCATCTTGGACAACATCTGCGGAGAGAGCTGCTGCTGCTGCTGGTGCTGCTGCTGATGTTGCTGCTGTGCGTTTACATGCAGATTCTTGTGCGGCGGCAGACTGCCCATAGGCGGCGAGCTGGCCACCTGGGTTTGTATCGCCTGCTGTGGCTGCACGGTAACCACCTTGCTAATGATTGTCGGATGATGCGATACGGGCAATGGGGGCATCTTCTGCAAAGGCAAAGGCATCAACTGAGCACTTTGTGCTGCATTTGCGCCCGGTTGCAGCTCAATGACAGACTTGGGCGTGCTCGGTGAGACCTGTTGCTGCTGTTGTTGTTGTTGTTGCTGCGGCAGCGCTGGGCGTGGCAGATAACTGTTAGGCGTAGGCATTTTGCTGCTGGTTGTAGGCGACGTTGTTGTGACTCCAACTCCACGCGCTGTCGGGCTGGCCAGCGGACTCATATTAATGTTGCCAGTGGGCGAAGCCAACAGCGGATGTTGTTGCTGCTGCTGCTGCTGCAGTTGCTGCTGTGTAGGCACTATGGGCCTTGTAGCTGGACTTAGCTGGCGATTGGGCGTGCCGCGTCCCGGCGACAACAACGGACTATGCGGCGAGGGGGCGCGCATTAGATAGGTGCTGGTTGGAGCCTGCTGCTGCTGCTGTTGTTGCTGCTGCTGCTGTTGATGTTGCTGCTGCTGTTGGTGTTGCTGCTGCTGTGGCGACAATATCAAGTGAGGCACCACAAAATGTGGCGCTTGCTCCGGTATAGATATGGTTGGCGGCTGCATAATGAGCGACTGCGTGCGCTGCGGCAACGTCTGAAGTTGTTGCTGTTGTTGGGCTGTTGCTGGCGTCTGCTGCTTGGGCGTGGAGGCCAGCGGCATGGTTTTCGGTGTGGTAGTAGGACTGCCAAAGGAGAGCGATGCGGAGCTATTGCTGCTTGCTGTGCTGGAGCAGTTGGCCATGACATTGGACAGATCCAAATTGATGACTGGCGTGGCAGGACGAGCTGTTGCTGTTGCAATTGCAGCAGCTGCCGTTGTTGTTGTTGTTGTTATTGTAGGTGCCGGCAGCACCGTTTGCACCGGCTGCACCAGCGGCTGTTGCAGCTTGCTGATGGTCGGCGGCTCTATCTTAAGCATTTGCTGTGGATTGCACTTGGTCGAGTTACTGCTGCTGGCATTAGGCGCTGGTGTAGGTGCAACTGTTGCTGGCGCAGGCGCAGGCACAGTTACTGCCAGCTTGGTAATGACTGTCGGCTGCGGCGTTTCGGACGTCTGTCTGGGCCTGGCGTTGGACTCGCTAGCGAGCTCGGGCGACTTTTCGGCAGCGCTCGAAGCCGACTTGTCGGAGGAGCCGCTGTGCTGTGGGGCAGTCTCGTCGATCTTGAGACTGGGTCCGCTGCTGTCCGCCTCGTCGGCGTTCTCCTCGGTGTCTGTGTCGATTTGCAGATCGCGTTCGGATTGCGGGGTGTCCGCCTTGATGTCCATGTCCTCGTTGCGCAGACTCTGCACCGCCTTGTTCACCTCTTCGGCATCGAGCACGACACCCACGGAGACGACAACGGGCACTGGTTCAGGCTCGGGATCCGGCTCGGGCTCAGGTGCGACCTCTTCGACAGCCGCCTCTATGGCCTTGGCAGCGAGTGCCGCCTCTTCGTCGGGCTCAGCGACAACCACTTCAGTGACCGTGGCTGCCATATCGTCCATGCCGTCTAGCGAGTAATCCGCCGTTGAGGATGTGCCAAAGCTTTCGCCCAGCAGCGCGGACACAGCGCTCTCCGTCTCTTCCTGCGAGATGGTCACACGGGATTTGCTATCCTCCAGCTTTTCGAGTGCCTTGATTGCGCCAGGTGGGGAGGCCACAGGTATCTTGGGCTCATCGGCCAGTGCATCCAGCAGTGCATTGTTGAACTCTGCAGAAATTGATTGCACCGCCGACTCGCTAATCTTGTCGTCCAGTTGACCATCAAAGCCAGGTATGAAGATCTCCTTCTTTTTATTCAAGACGGCGCTGGTCGGTGAGCTATTCTCCGCGGCACATTTGGACTCCAAAGCAGCTGCGGCAGCCGTTGAGGATGTGGGCGTGGTAACCAGAGGCGCCGCACCGCTGCTCGCAGGGGTTTCCGCCGATTGCGTGGACAGCATGGAGCTGTTGCTCTGGCTTATGGTGGGCGTCTTGGGAATGGGGCTTATCAACCGCGGCTTCTCGCGGGCCGGCGAGAGCGTATCTGTGTTGAGGCGATTGTTGCTGCTGCTGCCGCTGCTAGCTGAGGGTTTGATGACGGGCATCGGGCAGATGGGCGGCTCCTCATCATCATCATCGCCAATGAGACAGGGCAAGCTGGGCGAGGGCTTACAGAGCGGCGAACTGCGCTTCGATTCCTTCTCCTGCTGCTCCTCGGCGTGCTTCGAAGCTGCCTGCACATTGATGGTGAGTGAGCTGACCGATGAAGCGCCGCCGCCGGTTGCTTGAGCAGCAGCTGTTGCTGTTGTTGACTCGCGACGCAGCTGCAACTGTTGTTGTTGTTGTTGTTGCTGTTGCTGCAGTTGTTGCTTATCGAGCTTCTCTTGCTTCTCCTCCTTAGATCGCTTCTTCTTTTTCTTCTTGTCCTTGCTCTTGTGCCCCGCTTCCTTGGAGTCAAGCAGCTGCTGCTGCTTCTCGCTGGACTGCGACGGCAGCTGCAAATGCTGCTGCTGCTGTTGCTCGATGGAGTTGTTGTCCTCGTTGTCGGAGAAACGGAACACGTCCGTCATATCGCTTCGATAGGTGGTGGCTGTGGAGGGAGTGGCATCTTCGGGCAACTTATTGCTGTCAAAATCATCCATAAGCTGCGCTTCCAGCGCACGTCCTGCCTCGTCCATGTCCACGCTGTTGTCGTCATCCAGCTTGTTGGCGTTTTGTTGCTGCTGCTGTTGCTGTTGTTGCTGCTGATGCTGCTGTTGCTCGCGTGCGGACTTCTCGCGTCGCTTCTTCTCGCGTTTCTCCTTGCGATGCCGCTCGCGTTCACTGCGCTCCAGCTCGAGCTCCTCCTGATGCAGCTGCAGTTGCTGCGTTGCCGGCTCTTTGTTGCTGTTGAGGCTTAGGAGAGGCGTCTCCTGTTTGTAGGTCTGCAGCGCGGCGGATACCATGGGTCCTGTGGTGGACAGCTGCACCTTGGCCGTGTCGGGCGGCTCGTCGGTCAGTTGGGATTCTTCCTCTTCCTCCTCCTCGTCGGAGATAATACCAAAGATATCCTCCATTTTGTCCTCACTACGCTTTGCAGACTCACGCGCCGGCGTGCTCAGTGTGCTGGCCGTCGGTGGCGAGGAGGCATTGGATGCATTGTACAGGCGCGCCGATGTGTCCAGACTCTTTGATTTCTTGGACTTCTTCAGCCGATGACGCTCCTCCTTGGACAGCTTCTCGCTAAGCTGCTCGACAGAGCCGCCGGCGTTCGTCTCGCTCAAGTTGCGCAGCTTCTCGCGCTTCTTCTCCTTGCGCTCCTTGTGCTTGCGCCGCTCGCTAGCCACCACCACCACTGCGGAGGCATTCACTTCCAACGCGGGAGCGATCACTACTTGCTGCGGCAGCGGCTGCTGCTGTTCGGTCTTAAGCTCATCGAAGCTGTCGAATTTATTGGGCTTACAATCGGCAACATCAAAGATGCTGCCGCTGGCCGTGCTGCCAGCGGTGACAGCGGCTACAACAGTGGAGGCGGCGTCCGCCGAGGACTTGAGACGCTTCTTGCTCTTCTTGTGCTTCTTGCGCGCTTCCGGGGAGAACTCCTTGAGCTTGGCGGTACTGTCGCCCACGAAGCCCGTGTAGCCGGAGGCGCTGAAGTACTCGGTGTACTCCTTCTTGAATTCCGTCTTCAGTTTACGCTCCTCGTTGGAGGAGTGCGAGTCGTGGCGTGACTTTGGATACTTTTGCATTTCGCTGTCCGAGAGCTGTTCCTGCTTTATGTCCGGCTCCTGCTTGATGCTGGCGCTGCCCACGCTGCTGCTGCCAATCAGCTCCGGAGCTGGCTGCGATTGCGATTCCGAGTCGGAGGCAATGCGTGTCGAATGGCAATTCCTTTTGCCTGCGTGGCCAATCACATTGCGACGTATCTCATCCTCGGAGCTATCGTCGCCATCGCAGAGTCGACGCAAATTCTGTTGCATTTGCTGGCGCATGCGGCTGGCATTTAATGCCGCTGCCTCCGCATCCACATCGCCATCGGCATCCGAATCGGAGAATATGCGACTCTGTGACAGCTTGCTGCGATGATACCCATCCTCATCGTCGTTGCCATCGTCACTGCTGCTGAGGCCGCCATGATTGCGTCCATGGAAGCTGCTGCTGCCGCTGAGGCGATGATGCAGCCGATCCTCGAATTCGGTGTCGCTGTCGCCATCGTAGCTGGTGGAGCGCTTCTTTTTGGCTCGCGATTGTTTCAGCTGCGAGAACTTGGCCTTGATCTTCTTCTCCTCGGCCTGGCGTTGCATATTTTTGCAGCTGCGCGCCTTAACCTTGTCGTACATTGAGACATTGGGGCAATCGTCGGGTATATCAAAGATGGAATGCTTCTTGGATGCATCATCTGTGTCATCCGAGTCCGCCGAGCTGAGCATCATTTTGCGCGGCTGTGAAGCACTCTTCGAGGAAGCGCCTCCTTCGTCTGAGCCGCGCGATGATTTCCGCTCCACGCTACGACGATGATGATGATGATGATGGTGCGACGACTGTTGCTGCTGCTGCTGCTGTTGTTGCTGCTGCTGCTGCTGTTGCTGCTGATGATGATGATGATGCAACTTGCTGCTGGAGGTATTTGTGTTGGCTGTGTTAGAGCTAAGCTCGCCCGCGGAACTGCCCGCCGCTGAGATGCGTCTGTGCGGATTGTGTGTGGGCTCCTCGTCCGTATTGGTGGACTCGGCCACCGAGTGTCGCTTCTTCTCGCGATGATGATGATGGTCACGCTTGCTCTTGTGCCGCGACGACGATGACGAGCTGCCATGGTGATGATGCTCGCGCTGCTGCTTGTGCATCGACGGTTGTCGTTGCTGCTGCTGCTGCTGCTGCGGATGTGGTTGTTGTTGCTGCGACTGGGCCGGCTGCTGCTGCTCCTCCTCGCTGGTATTGAGCGTGTGCAACTGTTGCTGCTGTTTGGCATCCAGTTCGGTATTGTTGACCACCTCGCTGCTGCTGCTGGCGCTTTTGCTGTGATGCTTTTCGCGTCGATGATGCTTCGAGCTGCTGCTGCTGCTGCCGTGCGATTTGGAGGAACTGAGCTTTTCGTCCTTGCAGCCGCCGCTGCTGCTGCTGCTCTTGTGCTCCTTGCTGTCGCGACGGTCGCCGAGCCGCTGATGATTGCTTTGCGATTGCGATTGGGACTGGGATTGGCTCGGGTTGGTGTTCTCCATGCGTATACGCTTTACATAATCCTCATGATTTTGTCCACCGCCAGCGCCAGCGCCACCGCTGCTATGATTGCTGTCCTGCGAACTGAGGCGTCGCTTGTGCTGGCGGCCCGTACTGGGCACAGGGGAATTGCGTGACGATTTGCGGGAACGATCCTTGCTGCTGCTCTCAGTGGAAACGCTGCCTGAAGCTGCTGTTCCTGCTGCTGTTGTTGTTGTGGTTATATCCGCGGCAACGGCATTCTCTTTGTTGTTCTGTCGCTCACACTCGTTGGGCGTGGCTGGATTGTGGGCGTAGAAGCTGCTCGCTTCGGAACTGGCATCGGATTTGTTCTTGTGGTAGGCGGACATGTCGCGCATGCGCGCCTGCCGCGCCTCCTGTTCCCGCTGCTCCTTTTCGCGTTGTTCCTTCTCACGCTCTTCGCGATCCTTTTGCTCACGCTCCTCTTGCGCCTTACGTTCGCGCTCCCGCTCTCTCTCGCGTTCGCGTTCACGCTCCCGATCTCTTTCCTTTTCCTTTTCCTTCTCTTCTTTGGCCTTGCGCTCTTCGCGCTCGCGTTCCTCCTGCGCTTTGCGTTCCTTTTCTTCACGCTCCTGTTGCTTGCGCAGTTCCTTTTCGCGTTTCTCTCGCTCCTGTCGCTCTTTGTGCTGCGACTTTTCCTTCTCTTTGTCGCGCTCCTGACGCGGATGCTCCTTGTCGGGCTTCTCCATAGGTTCATCCGACTCGGTGGACTCATCGTCCACTTTGGGTGTTGCCGACTTCGAGGATTGCGATGTTGCCGAGTTCTTGCGCTTATCGGAGCTGGTTGTGTTCGAGGAGGATGAGGATGAGGAGGAGGACTTCTTCGACTTTTTATCCGCATCGGAGCGATTGTTGTGCTTGCTGCTGCCATGCGACTTGTCGCCGCTGCTGCTGCTGCTCTTCTTGGACGCGGAGCAGGAGGCAGTTGTTGAGCTCTTGGCGTTGCCTTTGCCCTCCACTTCATCAATCGAGCTGTTTGGTGTTTGTTTTTGTACGTGTGTGGCTGTTGTTGTTGTTGTTGTTGAGGAACTGTTACCGTTGGAGGATGGGTTGCTGCTGCTGCTGCTCCCAGTGGTGCCCACATTGGTGCTGCCCGGCACTGAGGCGGACTTTTGAAGCACGGAGCGTGGTTCATTGGCTGCCGCTGGCACGCTGAGGCTCTTGCTGAGCTGTTGATTGCCTGTGGACGCCGCTGTTGGCTTTGCTTTGGGCAACTCCGGTGGTGGAGGTGGCGCCGGTTGTATCGCCGGTGGTGGTGCTGCAGTATTTGGCAATGGCGGGTGACTGGGAAATGGATATTGCAGTCCCTTTGTTGGACCACTGCCGCTAGACGTGCCACCAATAACAGCAGCCGCAGCCGCAGCCGCTGCAGTTGCTGCTCCTGCTGTTGTTGTTGCTGTCGCGGCGATGCTGCTGCTGCTGCCAACGCCACTGCTGGGCTTGGCCAGCTGCCCAAGACCGCTGACCACATTGGCATTCACGACAGAGGGCGAGGGCGACGGGCTATTATAAGGCGACATCGAAGCCTGCGGGGAGTTCATGGGCGACAAACTGCTCAGCCGCTGCAACAGGCCGCTTGTCTTGCAGCTGCCGCTGCTGCTGCTGCCGAGAGTGCTGCTGCCGGTAAGGAGGCTGCTACAGTTGCCAATGATGGGCGTCGTCTTGGTGGCTGCCAAATTGGGCAGCGCTGGTGACGTGTTCCCACTGCAGAGTCCACCATGCCGTGCATTCGCCAACGTTGTGGAGCCCGTGGCAAAGTCTGTGCTGGCGGGCTCGTACCATTGATTCTTCTTGAGCCGCTGAAAGTCATCGTCGAACACGGACTTCTTGGCCAGCAGGGATTTAACAATATCAGAGGGCTGCAGCTCATCGATGTCCAGAAATTTGTGACGCGAATTGCTTGTCGAACTGGAGACGGTGCCGCTGGAGCTGTTGCTATTGCCGGAGCCAGCCTGATGCGACGAGCCTAGGCCGCCCAGGTTTGTCGCGTGCATGGAGAGCTGCCACGAAGGTGTGTTTGACTGGCTGCTGCTGCTGGCGTGACTGTGGCCATGGCCGGGATTTGCGTTGCTGCTGCCACCAGACCAGCGCTCGTAGTTCTCCTCAAAGTTGCGCAGTCGTTCATCCAGCGTTGGGCTGCCGCCCGTCTGGCCGCTCGGTACATCCGAATCACTTGAGTTGGAGCTCAGCGAGCGCGGACGCGCCGGACTGCCCATCAGGCCAATCGATGAGGATGACAATGACGATTGCTGCAGTTGCACCTGTTGCAGCTGCTGCTGCTGTTGTTGTTGCTGCTGTTGCTGCTGCTGTTGTTGCTGCTGCTGCTGTTGCTGCTGATGATGATGGTGGTGCTGGTGATGATGATGATTTGAGGAGCGCCAATAGCGCGAGGAGGGACTGGGCAAAAAGCCTAAACTGGACGCAGTCGCCGACGTTGATGAGCCGCTGGACAACATCCCAGCAGCGCCTCCGCTAAGACTAGAGTTGTTGTTGTTGTTGCTGGCAAGCAACGCCGTTGTTGTCGTCGCCAGCTGCTGCAAATAGCTGGATACTCCGCTGGCTGTGCCACCGTTTCCGCTGCCACTGCGCTGCTGCTGAAAAAACAACACACCGAATTTGGGTAACGGCAGCCACATAATGTCGCGCACACGCTCCCGTGCCCGTTCCCGTGGCGGCGGCAGCCGACGCGGCTCTGTGGGCAACACCTCCGGTCGTTCATCGCACAGCGGCGTGCCCGGCCTGGAGCCATCGGCGCTCTCGCCGCCGCTGGCCTCGTGCGAATGATGGGAATGTAGCTGATGGCCGCGTCCGCGCGACACATGATGATGATAGTCATCATTGGGCGTGGGCGCTGCCAGCGAAGGCGTCAGCAGGCCAGCGCTGTTGCCGCTACCGCTGTTGCTCGCGGGATTGCTGCAGGAGGTGGAGGCTGATTGCTGCTGTTGCAGCGGCTGCGGCTGGGATAGCTGCAGCGTGCTGGCGGTCACACGACGTCGCTTCGCCGCCAGTGACGTATTCATTAGATGCTGCTGATCCATGCTGCTCGCACCGACTAGGCCGTGCCGAAATGCCGACGAGTTGGACAGCGCCGAGAGGGCGCCCACATCGATCGATGGCCGCCGGCAGCTGACCATCATGCTGTGGTGTTGCATTGGCATTGGTGGCGGTGCGACCGCTGAAAATTTACCCGCCTCCGAGACGCGACGTATTTCGCTCTTCCGATTCAACGGATCGTGTATGACATCACAGTTGGACAGCGGACTGGGCTTGTTGCAGTGACCAGACCCCGGCGAATCGCTGTTCTGCTCCAGCAGCTGCGATTGCTACAAATCATTAGAAGAAGTTCAGATAGGAATCAGTTTTATGTATAAGATCAAGTCCTAGAGTGCAAAATGATCGTGCAGTGTGACCCGAATATACAAATAAAAGATTTTTGTTATATATTTATCCATTTTCGCTTTTCTTAAACCTTATGCTTTTCACTCATCGCCCGTGAATAGCCAAGAGAAAGAGCTGTAAAAACCAATTTGACTTTGCCTTTGAATTTTCCCCCAATTTTTCACCCATGTAGGTGAATTTCGCTCTTTTTCCTCAATATTTCACCCAGCCAAATGAAATTGCCGATTAGATTAAATGATTGATGAGTGAGCAAACTAAATAATATGCATACAACACTTTTAAAGCATTGTGGATGAAATGTAACAAACCGTTTCGAATGCGGACTTCGTCATTAAAGGAAGCTTTTGTGTGCAGCTCCCGATAGGAAGCTTTTGTGCAGCTCCTGCTGCAGTTAATTCTGCGTTGATTAGCGCTCAGTTTACGATCATTTTGCAACACTCTAGCCTATTATTTAGTGTCTGTGTGTGTGTGTGTGTTTCACTTACCGCACTGGCATTGGAATGATGATGATGATGATGGTAATCCATTTTGATGCGCTTGCGCGGACTGACCACGCCCTCATCACCACTGGACGGGCACTCCTCGAGTTGTTCTGGCAATTGAAAACGTTGATTGTGCACATGATGGCGCAAATCTACATTTGTCTTACCACAACGCCGGCGACTGTTGCTGCTGCTTCCGCCGCTGCTGCTGTTGTTCAATGTCAGCTCGTGCATTTCGCTGGGGTTGCCAGCGTTGGTGCTGCCACTCCCACTTCCGCTGCTATTGACAGCTGGTCCGAGTCTTGCAATTACAGGCGAATCAGAGCGCATAACAACGCCCGCATCCTCGTCCTGCGCCTGACTATTGCCGCTGTTGTTGTTGCTGTTACTATTGTTGTTGCTATTGTTATTGTTGCCCGGTTCAAAGTTGCGAAACCGTCGACCCACATCGTTGAAGTCAAAGTCAATGGTGTGCCGCGCATTGCGCGCCATACGCATACGCGCCTGGACCATCGCCGCTGGCGACATGGGCATCGCACTGGGGCCCACCGCCGAGGGTAACGCTGCGGACGTTGCTCCAGTGTTGCTCACAACTGCCGATGCAATGCTCGGCGCTGGCATCGCATTGCTCGCCGAGATGCTGTTGCTGCTGCTGCTGCCGGTGCTATTGTTGCTGTTGCCAGCACTACTGATGCTGCCGCTGACGCCACCAACACCACCTCCTGGCGTATTACCGCCTGGCGAGCAGCCATCGTTCGAGTTCTGATGTCGACTGAAGGAGGAGGCGCGCGAACGTGACTGTGAAGAGTCGTAGCGATTGAAGCGCGAGGAGGAGGAGCCTAAAAAAAATATGCATAACAACAGTTAACAATTTCTACATCATGCCCAAGCTCGTCTCACTTACCCGCATTGGGGAGCTGCGTCGGCTGCTGCTGCTGCAGTTGTTGTTGTGGCTGCTGCTGCTGCTGTTGCTGCTGCTGCTTCTCCTGCTTGTCGTAGAAGGCATCCTGGCATTCACGCGATGCAAAGTCCACCTGCAGTTTGCGTCCACGCATAATGGTGCCACGCATATCCTTGACAGCAGCCTGCGCATTCTGCACCTGATCGTACAGCACCAAAGCCAATTGTCGCGTACGATCAATGCTGACCTTGGTGACGGTGCCGAACCGCGTAAACTGTGACTGCAGAAAGGTTTCGGAGACCTTCTCGCCGACACCGTCAATCCAGACACAATTCGTGGGCATGGACTTGCCAAAGCCCAGATTGATGCGATTGCTGCCCAAATGTTCGCCATCCATTTTACGCATTGCCTTGACCACAGACACAATATCCGAATACTGACAAAAGGCATAGGCATTCAGTCCCTGCTTCTTGATATCAATCTCGATGATCTCGCCAAAGCTTTCGAAATGGACGCGCAGCTCGCTGGCGGTTATATCCTTCTCGAGGTTGCCAATGAACAGTGTTCGTGTAGCTTTCGGATTGTATTCGTCCAGTTCGGCTTCGTAGGGACGAAATTCATTGTCCTCCACGTCGTAGCCCTGATACGGTTCCACCTCGATTTTACAGCCAAAGAAATGTTTATCATGGGATACTTCGAGAGCCTTCTCCACATCGTCCGGTTTTTTAAAGCAGACGAGCGCATAACGCTCCGAATTCTGTCCCACGACCTTCACCCACGTGACCTTGCCGTGCTTTTTGTACTCGTGAAAGAGACCATCCTTAAGGGATGTGTCCGAGGAACGTGCGGGCAGGTTGCGTACGCGTATCGCCAACGGCCGATTATCTTCGGAATGCACCACCGGATTGGCCGCCAAACAGGAGCTGCTGCTGCTACTGGAGCTGCTGCTGCTGCTACTACTCGAACCACAGCCACCACCGCTGACGACATTGCCACTGGGATTTGAAGAGTTGCCTGCAACAAAAATAATAATTAATGGAATTTCAATAACAATCATTTAAAGGGAGCACATATAGCAATACTTACTGCTAGCTGCCACACAGGACTGCAGACTGCGTGAGCTGCGATGCGACGATGTAGCGTTAATGCCACCGACTGCAACGAGTGCATCGGCACAATTGCCCGATATAGGGCTGGACGCGTGCGAATGCGACGATGAGTGCGATGAGGCCGATGATGAGCTATGCGAGCTGCTGTAGCTGCTCGGCGAACGTGAATGCGAGCGACTCGACGATGTTGTGCTCCGACCATGCAAATGATGACGCGGCGCACGTCCGCCCCCGCCGACCACGCCCTGCTGCGTCGCATTGCCATTGTCCACGGCGGCGGCCAGTGCAGCGGCCACATTTAAAATGTCACCGCTGCCGCTGCTGTTGCCACTAGAAGCTGTTGTTGCTGCTGCAGCTGTTGCAATTGGCATCGTTGGAGTGGCCGTGTTTATTATATTTAAACTATTACTACTAAAACTATTGTTTGTGATTGTACTTGTCGTCGCTGCTGCTGCTGCTGCTGCTGCTGCTCCTGCTGCTCCAGTCACTGCACCAGCACCGCCTGAGGGCGACTCAGAGCCACAGCGCGCCGTTGCCGTTTTGAGCAGCTTGTTTAGTTTGCTGACGCCGGCAGGGCTTCTGCTGTTGTTGTTGTTGTTGTTGTGGTGTTGCAGGTGAATTTTGCGGGAACAGTTTAACGTTGCCGTTGCCGCCGCCGCTGCTGCCTCATCCGCAACACTGCCCGCATACGCAACGCTGCGGTGCATGGCGGTTGTCGAGGATGCCGCCGCCGCCGCCGCTGCTGCTGCTGCCGCCGCTGCTATCGTGTGCGTATGCGCATGCGAGTGCGAGTGGGCGGGTGATGAGTACGAGGCGGATGTGTTGTAGTGATGATGATGTGGATGTGGATGATGATTGATCGGTGAGCTCATTATGCTGCCAGCTGCTGAGACGCCGGCATTGCCACTGCCACCAGGACTTTTCAGATGCGCTGTCGCAGTAGCAGCAGCTTCGTACCATGACTGCGGTACGCGTGTGTTTTGGTTAATGTTGTTGTTGTTGCTGCGATCACCCAACGCTTGTGGCGGCAATGGACCACCACCACCAACTGCTGCTCCTCCTCCTCCTCCGCCTGCTGCTGCTGCTGTTGTTGTTGCTCCACCTGCAACCGCAACCGCGCCCACACCCGCTGCAGCTGCTGCTGTTGCTGCTGTCGTTGTCGTCGTGTTGCTGCTTGTAGCTGACGCACCAACTGCTGCTGCTGCTGCTGCGGCTGCTGCTGAACCATTCCTGTATAGACGATCTCGGGCGCGCGATCTGTCGCTGCTGCTGTTGTTGTTGCTGTTGGTGCTGTTAGTGATGTTGCTGCTGCTGGCAGTTGTGGCTACTGCTGCTGCTGCTGCTGCTGCTGCGTTGCTGGCTTGGTAGACTATGCGGCTGCGATCGTAGTAGTTCCTTTCGAAGCTGTTTGTCGGTGGTTCCTCTGTAGACCTGCAATAACACAAAATAAACGCACAAAATGGATAAGCAAAACAGTTGACAACTTGTTGTGTATTGTTTTTAATTGTTTATTTTTTATTGCCATACTCTGTGCACAAAGCGAAAAAGTGAATTGTCAATACGTGTGTATGCAATTTTATAGCTGCTATAAGAGCTGGAGAATATACATATGGAATATACATATTACCGACCATGCCCTGAGCTTGGAAAGAGCGTGAAAATCAAGCGACACAAATTAACATTTTCTGAGCACAGATTGACGTTTTACAGCGTTTACAGACACGAAAGCAATAAAAGAGTAGGATTTTTTCAAGCTAATTAAAGCTGTGTTTACAGAGTATAGCCCAGTCGGCTGCATCCGACTGCAATGTTTATTTTCCATATTATTCTTATATGTGCATATATTTATATATATGTGCCACCCACACACCTCCGCATAATAGTTTTTACACAAAAAACCTTGTCAATTTGCGGCGACGACTGGAGCTGCCGCTGTTGTGTCTGCTGCTACAGCTGTGGGGGAAGAAGGGTATCCGTTTGAGGATCGGTTTTTGCTTAGCGCCAAATGGGCGCTTTTTGTTTTCTAACATGGGCGCAAACAGAAACAAGCCAATTGTATCTTAGAAAAGTTCAATATTTTACTAAATATAAAAACACACACGCGAGCAAAAATTTCACCGGGTGAAAAAAAAACAAAAAAAAATAATAAAAAAGAAACGGCGCCAAATTCAACGTCTGTCGACGTCGCCGTCGTCTGTTTACGCGGCAGAACTTGGCGAGTGTTTTAAGTTATTTTTTCTTTTTGCAAACGCACACACACACGCACACGATGCACACACATAAACAAGAGCTGGAGCCGGTGCCGCCTGGTCAGAGAGCGCAAAGAAACACAACCGGTTTTTCAATATTTACACATACACACTTGTGCAGTTCTTTTTTTTTTTCTTTAAAATTATTATATTTACAGCACACAAAATATTTTCTATTTCTCTTCTATTTTGGCTTTTTATTTTCTACAGTTTCGTTGATCGTTTTGCCGCTTCTTACTAATTGCTCATCTGCTTTCATGCCGATATTCGCGTAACCAAACACGAGCAGCGGCCTCATTTCGGAGCTGCCGGATCGCTAAACGTTTGCGACAGAGTGTGAGCGAGCGCGGTGCTGCCAAGCTGTGTGCAACAGTGCCATGCTATTTAACAGCGCACAATGTTTAACAGCACAAATTGAGTAATAATTACATTTGTGTTCAGCCTGTTTGAATAAAGCAGTAAGGTTATTAAAAAGTTCAACACTCTTAACAGCTATTGCTACTAGCTGCACGCAATCCAAATGGATAACTATACTTATCTTTACTAATGTATAACAGCTTGCTGTTACTAACAGCTTATGGAAATGTTTATGCTATGCTCACTGTTATAATTGGGGTGGACACAAAACGCTAAGAAAGTAAACAACAACAAAAATTGTAACGACGCATTTCCCAGGTAAAAATTGTATGCTGCCGCTACCTGAATGAAAAATCAACCCCGCCATAAATTAACATGCGACGCAAAAAAGGCTCAACACAACCGAATGACAGGCCTATTTTCTTTCACACAAGGGAAAACAGGCGCGACCTTAGCTAAAGTTGTCCATTGTTTTCCCCGTGAAACGGAGAGAAAACGTTTTCTAACTATGCCAAAAACAAACGCGTCGCGGCAAAGGGCACGTTATTAGAAATAGAAATAATACATATATATATATATATATATGCATGTGTATACATACTTATTTATGTAAATGTGCTTACGACATATAAGGGACCGCTTTATGGCCTCAACGATCGGTTCGTTCAATAACAGACGGCGACTGCTCATGACGCCGTTTGCTAATCTGCTGCAAGGGCAATTCAACTATTTAGGAGATACGATCGACGCCAATAGTTATATACATCTACATATATATGTATACATATATACGTATACGTATAAGTCTACGCGGAAATCATATCGATGATTAAATACCCTTGCAGACATGTGCCTTAGCATGGACGAAAGTTTAATTTCAAGCAATTTTCTGTTTTATTACTAAATGAAAATGTCACTTGTTCAATTCAAAAGAATTGAATTGAATGCCTTTTATAGTCTTTAATTTATATTTGCAACAATAATTAATATAATAATTTATAAATGCATATATAGGCAACTATACGTAGTTCCATAGATTATATTTTTTTAAAAACTATTGTATTTTAAAAATGACTGCATATACATATGTATATTTTTGTTTGCTTCTTTTTTTGAACATGACAATTGACAAAATATTGTGTTGAAAGAAATTTGACTGAAAAAAAGTTCAGTAGACCAGTGTTGATTAAGGGGTTTATATAAGTAGCATATGTGTCTACTGTGAATATACCTGGAAAACACAAGTTCCACGAAAGAAAAGTGTTTCTAGAGTCAGTTGGGAAAACAATAGACCGCGTTATAAAGACACCTTAGTCATATCCAATAATGATATAATATTAAAACAATATAACCAAACTTCCATTCTAAAAGAGTAAAACTATACATAATTAATTATTTTTATATTACCAACAAATTCTGGCCAATAATCATAATAATAACAAATTAAAGCTGTTATTATTAGTTATACAATTTTGTGAAGTTTAGGAATTTAAGAAATTAAATCAAGGCAACATTCTATTTATAACAAAGCGCAGTTCTATTACATCAAAGTTCCCATTTATTTATTTAGCTTATTATAAGCCTCTTTTGTTTGTTTAATTCAAATGGTTTAAGGTTTGGTTCATGGTAAATTGGTAAATAAACTGAGATTCCCGGCTCGAACCGGTTCGGCTTAAGCCCAGTTTGTCATTTCAAGTTAACGATACGTTCGGATGTTTAATACTTAAAGAGTAACATGAATTTTTCTTGGACTCACATTACCAATTCTACGCAACAACAACCATAATAATAATAATAATTATAATAATTATTATTATAATTTAATCTGTTGATATTAGTTGTACAATTGTGTGTGCATTGAAAGTAAGGGTAAGTTTTTCTGTTTACCAAGCGAAATCAAATGCAAAATGTTCTATTTATAAAACACGAGTTAAACGAAAGCTTCGCTGGAATTTTATAAATACAGTTAGGCATTTTAATTGAAATGCTTAATGCGGGCCATGTAATTGCACACACATACATGCATGCCTGTGTGTGTGTGTGTATATATATTCATGTTGAATATGATGAATTGAAGCCCACGGCTCTGTCATTCGTTGCAAAGATTTTTTAAAGCCGCATTAAGCGCTTTAAGCGCCCAGAACATAGAGCTCAAAGCACTTAAAATATGGCCATGTAGCACATTCACATGCCATCTACATAGATATATATGCATACATACATATGCATACACATACCTGTGTATGTGGTATATAAGATAGAGCGCTGCAGTTTCCAGATATAGCTGGAAATTATGTTGCTGCTGCTGCTGCGCTGCGGCTGCGGCTGTGGGTGGTGTGTGTGTGCCTGTGTGTGTGTGTGTGTGTTCAGGCTGATGACTCAGGCTTTTGGGCAGCTGTACATAGCATAAAAAAACATTGAGCATACATAAAAACATAGACACACACACACACACATACACACATAGTTATGTATATGTGCTGTTCGGTGTAGGGGCTATGTATATGTATGCTCCGCAGCAATTGCATTCAAAGAGCGGCGCGGTTTGCCCGGCATGCGCAGTGAGGCGGGCGAAAAATCAATTCAGCTAAAAGTGCGCCCGGTTAGGGAAGTGCAGGGCCAGGCACAAGCCCAACAATGGCAACATTTGTTGCGCCAACAGCGAGGTGGTGAGAGGAGCAGCAGCAGCAGCAGCAGCAGCAGCAGCAGTAAGCAGAGCAAAGTAATGCGGAGCGTTGGGTGGGTCTTGTTTGGGCGTTTGTTTTGGTAATGGGCAAAGCTGTAAATTGCATTACTGCGACTGTCAGTGTGTGTGTGTGTGTGTTTTTGATGCTTATGTAATACATAGGGACGACACCGCCCCCAAGCTGTGACAGGGCCTGGCGAAAAGTTTTGCACACAGCGAACGTCCTTGTTTGAGGTTATTTCTGTATATAGCTAGCTGCCTGCCTGGCTGGCTGTGTATATGTGTGTGCGAGTGTGTGTCTGTGTGTGGGTGTGTGTGTGTAGAACTTTTTGCAAGTTGAAATTCCTGAAATCCTTTTTAGCCTTTCATTCAATCATTGCCGGGCATACAACGCCCCATCCGCCCATCCGCAAACCCGCCGCCCCGTCCACACCAAAAATAAACAGGATATCAAATGCGGGGGCTTTGGACTGCAGTCAACGTAATTTGAGGACTCTGCCACAGACCGTTGGGCGTGAAATTTATCAACAGCAGAGCTGCAACAACAACAACAACAACAACAACAGCCGCTTCTGGCAAGTTGAAGGACACGGGAATGACAGCTCGCACAGGGCGCAATATATAGATAAAACGTAACGTAAACAACGAAATGTGCGGGAGCTTAATTTATATGGGAACTATATATAAGCATAGTTGGGCTCAAGCTCCGCACAAAGCAGACATATCCATAAAATATGAAAGCCTCAAGACATGCGAAACTTGCTTCTAGCAAGCTCTTTATGTCCTGCAAAATTATTTGAGATATTGCAAAGAAAGCGCATTAAATAGCCTCATAGAGAATAGAGCAGCTGACGAAGCTTAAAGTTCGTATTCGTTGAGTTTGAGAAAAAAATAGATTATTAAACTAAAATGATTTCTATTTAAATCATTATTTGAATAAATTTTCCTATAGAGCCTAGGGATACAGGGAATCCTTGTTTATAAGAATTATATTAATATTCGACTTAAAATATCATTGATAATACGATTTTTACCCATATGCAATCAAAAAAAAGTTCAAGTCTTCTGTAGAGAAATATCCTACAAAACAAACAAGATTTTCATGCAAGAACCTAACATTTTACCGACTATTTCTATCA